GAATATAAAATGACACTATAACTTTGGAAATCAGCTTAATGATTACCTAAAAATTAAAAATATACCTATCATTATATGCTGATATAATGATACATATCCAAGATATACAAAAGCATATATCCACACAAATACTTTACATGAATGTTCAAAGTAGGCTTGTTATCAAGAACCAGAAGCTAAAAATAAATGTCCACATAAAAGAATGGCTAAATAATTTGTGGGACATAACAAGTAATGGAATAGTATTCAATAACAAAAAAGAATAAACTATTGATATATGCAACAATATTGATAGATCCCAAAACAATTTATGGTGAGTGAAAGAGAAAGACAAATATTGCATACTACATGATTCCATTTATACAAAAATCTACAAATCCAATGTAAACTACAGTGACAATAAGCAGCTCACTATCTGACTTGGGATCAGTATAAGGAAAGAATTATAAAAGGGCACCAGGAAACTTTTGGCAGTGGCAGATTTGCCATTACCTTATTGTGGTGGTTTCATAGTTTATACATTATGTTGAAACTTAACCAATTATATATTTCAAACATGCAATTGTTTGCATGTCAATTATGCTGTACTAATACTATAAAAATCAAAATGATACTGCCAAACTTAGTGAAGCACACATTGAATCAAATAATTTTGTTACAGTAACAAATGGTGTCAAGTAAATGTTACAAAAAAACAACATTTTTAAGGTCTATAAAACACAAAACTAACCCAAACCCCACAGTTACAAAAATGCATTTTGCTAGAGCTTAACCTAGTCTTAAAATAACATATAATGAGAGGAGGGGTGTGGGGACTCTATCAGCATTTACTAACACAGGGGTTAGGAAACATCCCTGTGACTAATCAGATAGTAAATATATTGTGTGGGCCTTATCATCTCTGTCACACTCTCAGCTGTCACTGTAGCAAGAAAGCAGCAATAGTCAATATTTAAAAGAATCGGAGTGGCTGCAGCCCAACATATCTATTAAAATAGACCTTTATGGAAAAATCACCAAAAGAAGGCAACATAAGAAATACAAAAAAATATGATCAAAAGCAACAGTGGAAAGACAGTCATAAACAGGAAGAAGGCTGGGCTTGGTGGCACAGGCCTGTAATCCCAGCAACTCAGGAGGCTGAGGCAGGAGGACCAAAAGTTCAGAGCCAGCCTCAGCAACTTAGTGAAGCTCCAAGCAACTTAGCAAGACTCTGTCTCAAAATAAAAAATAGAAAGGGCTGGGGGTGTGGCTCAGTGGTTAAGACCCCTAGGTTCAATCCCTGGTATAAAAATAAAAAACAGGAAGAATGGGCTCTGGTGTACACCTTTAAAAAAAGAAGATGGAAGTTGAAATAATTCCCTTCTGATAGCTTTGATGAAGTAGATAAAGCTACTGTTGCTGAGAACAATAATGAAAAACTGTAAAAATCTGGAATCTTATCTGAATGGACAAATAAAATCAAGGTTTAACAATGGCAAAAGTGCAACTGACTTTTAAAAACAACTTTAATATATGGGCTACAAGATTTCTTCCACCAGCTGAGATGGTCCCTACACAGACTGATTTAGGATTACGATTCTCAAGAGATGATGTAACAGGACAATGGTAGAAGGGAGTTTTCACTAGAAACCAGTTCCAGCAGTCAACCAGGATAGGAAGGAAGTAAACAAGGATAGAAAAATGACAGACTAGTATAATAATAGGGAGATCAAGGGACAAAAGGTCTCTAGGAGCCTGAAGAGCATTGGAAAGAATGGTATCAGAAAAATGGAAGGAAACAGATGGGTGGGATCAATAAGCAAGACACTGGAGCATAAGATTTTTGATGTGGAAACATTGCAATGCTGAAAAGGTACAGATTTTTAAAACAGGAATAGATAAACAGAATGGCAGAAAGTGTCATCAAAGTTAAGGCATTAAAAACTGAAAGGTGGGGCCGGGTTGTGGCTCAGTGGCAAAGCCTTTGCCTAGCATGCATGAGGCACTGGGTCGAGCGCCAGCACCACATAAAAATAAAAACAAATAAAATAAAGGTATTGTGTCCATCTAAAACTAAAAATATATATACACATTTACAAAAAAACTGAAAGGTAAGGATACAAGGAATTATCCACAACGAATATGTTCAGTCCTAGGGAAACTAAGTCTGATATGAGGCTGTGAACCAAGAGTTCACACATTAAGACTAAAATTATATAGTACAAACTTTCATTGTCAAGAATTTCAATAACATAATTTTTACTCATAATTAAATGTCTATGTTCCTGCCTTAAAATAATTTTAAAGTAAAAATTAGTAAGATYCTATAATAATTAACAAAATACTGGACACTACTACACAAATACTAACAATACAAGGTTATAAAATTATAGACACCAAAATTTTAAAAACTACATCTTCACATAAACCTTTTAATTATTCTGAAACTAAGTTAACAAATATGAAATACCAAAGAAACAAGTTAATAAGACCAGTCTGTTTTGTATTAATATGATTACTAAGAATAAAAACTTCTGATCTTTATTTAGAAGATTTCAAACTCATTAAAAATCAAGCTGCTTATTAAAAATATTCATTCTTTGCAATGCTAGATAAATACAAATACTTATCCTATTTAAATACAGAATAAGACTCCAAAGCCTACTGAAACCCAACAGTCACAGGGACCACAAACCTAAGACTGAACATCTACAAACGCTTGGTAGTCATGTGCTTTCTTCCTTCACAAAAGTCTAGTAAATACATTCTTTGATTTGGGGGTAGGGGAACCTTGCCAATATCTACTTATAAACTCACAATACAGGTCAGAGAAAGAACAGAGTGATATGGTATAAGACTAAAACCATCTGACTAATTAAGAACAAGCAGTCAAGTATAGATTTTTCTTAATTTAAGAGCAACCTGGAGGACATTTAACATCATTTTGCTTTGAAATCTGAGATGGCTGCACAACATACATACATATATATATTTTTTTCATAGGTTCTTATCTATAATTCTGTTCTAAATTATTTGGCTCTTTAGTATCTTTCTGTTTGTGACTAGGGCTGGTTTATCAGTAATTTGATCTATTTCAAAAAAATTATTAGACAATTGTGAGGAGAAACAGTAATTTCTGATTGTGGCAAAACTATAAATAAATGACACACTGTAAATAAATGCCTTTACTCTTATACTAATTTTATGGGTCAATTGGGCTAGGCTATGATACCCAAATATTTGGTTGAAGATTAATGCTAGATATTTTTGTAAAAGTATTTTTTTTTTTGGAGGGGGGGTGAGATTAACATTTAAATCATTTGTGAGTAAAGCATTCTCCAAAACAAGTGGTGGGCCTTATCTAATCATTTGAAGGTCTTGAAAATAGGCTAGGAAAAAAGTGACTTCCTTTAGAGGAAAAAGAAATTCTGTCAGTCTGCTTTTGGACCTAAATTGCATCAACTCTTCTTTGGCTCTACAGCCTACCTCTAAAGATTTTGGACTTCTCAGCCTCCATAGTCTTGTAGCCTAGTTCATTGAAATTTCTCTGTCTGAAACTCTGAAACTACCTTACACACACACACACACACACACACACACACACACACACACACACACTACTGGATCTGTTTCTCTGGAAAACTCTAAAAAATACATTTCTTAAGTATAATAGTCATTTCTGTCTTATAATAGCAAATAAAGGATATGTGATAAGATTAATGTGGGAAATTTATTATAATGAGACGATTAGTGACTCTAGCTGATCATTTAACAAAGTAGCTATTAAACTTTGTGTCACAAAAATCTTTTAAACTTCCCAATATGTAAATGGAAGGTATGGTGCTTTTGTCTGTGGTGGTTATTTTGAATTAAACGTTTTACATGTCTGTGTTCCCAAAAATTCATATGGTAAGGCTGCACGAACCCCCAGTGTGGCTGAATTGAAAATAGGGCCCCTAAAGCAATAATTAAGGTTAAATAAAGCCATTAAAATGGGACCCTGATCCAATAATGTTGGTATATTTATAAGAGACACCAGAGAGTTCATTCTCTCTCACTCTCTGCCATGCAAAGTCATAGAAAGCGAATGTCCAGCCCAAGAGAAAAGCCCTCACCAGACACCAACCCTGCTGTTACCTTTAGGTTGAACTTCCAGTATCCACCAATGTACAAATATAAAAAATAAAAAGTTTTTTATTGTATAAGCAGCCCAATCTATTGTATTCAGTTATGGTAGCCCAAGAAAACCAATATGATTTGGAATTAGGAGTCAGAAGAGGGGTGTGTGTGTGTGTGTGTGTGTGTGTGTGTGTGTGTATTTTATTTGTTTGTTCTACAAGTCTGGGGATGAAACCCAGAAAGCTCTACCATTGAGCTATATCCTAGTGCTTTGTGCTTTTCATTTTGAAACTGGATATCTCTAAGTTGCTGAGGCTGACCTCAAGCTTGCGAATCCCCTGCCTCAGCTTCCTGAGTTGGTGGAATTGCAGCCTTGCTTCACCACACCCAACAGAAGCAATATTTTAAAGGGAGGGCAGAGCTTCTCTTGAATAGCAATTGTATACTCCTGCTCTAGGACCCAAAGATAACTCTGCTGACATCAACCTTACAATAGTACTCAACATAGAAAATAGTGAAATGATGTATCTGTCTTTACTACTCAAATAGTAATAAAGAATGTTGGGCATAGTGGCAAATACCTGTAATCCCAGAGACACAGGAGGCTGAGATAGAACGATGAAAAGTTTGAGATGAGCCTCATCAACTTAGTGAGATTCAAAATAAAAAATACAAGAGTACTGTGTTGAATCCCCAGTATCAAAAAAATGTCACTCAATATAGAGTCTCCAAGGTTCATTTAAAAAGCAAAATAATGAAATAAGTGTGTCTTATATCTTAACTCACATAATAATGTAAAGTCAAATACTACTTTTACTACTTTTCATATTTAAGAATCTTTCCAGTATTTCCAAAGTAGCCCTTTTTTTAATTAAGACTCTTGCTGTAGTAACACTTACCGTAACCCATTCCTTTGGTCAAAAGCAGGAATCATAGAGTTAGGATGCTCTGACATTAATGCAACAAGCAGCTGTAGGACATCCATTAGATTGTCATCCTATTTAGAAATTAAAAAGTAAAAATATGAGGAAAAAGCAATATATATGAATACTTCTAAAACAGAAGAAATTTAAACTTTATAAAAATAGACATATCTATAATACTTGTTTTGCACAAATTGTTCTCTTTTTTAAATATTTTTTTTATGGTTGGACACAATACCTTTATTTCACTCATTTTATTTTTTACATGGTGCTGAGGACCAGACCCAGGGTCCCACCGAGATGAGCGCTCTACCGCTGAGCCACAACCCCAGCTCCCAAGTTGTTCTTAAAATACTTTCATCTATATGAATCAAAAACCACATCATCAGGGCTGGAGATGTGGCTCAGCGGTAGCGCGCTCGCCTGGCATGCGTGCGGCCCGGGTTCGATCCTCAGCACCACATACCAACAAAGATGTTGTGTCCGCCGAGAACTAAAAAATAAATATTAAAAATTCTCTCTCTCTCTCTCCTCTCTCACTCTCTCTTTAAAAAAAAAAAGATATTTAAAAAAAAACCCACATCATCAAATAGCCATGTAATTTCTTACTCTGAGAAATAAAATATCTCTTATAATGACTCAAGATTTCCCAAAGGCACATTCTCTAGAAATAGTAGATCTAACTTAGTGGATTTCTCCTACCCCCAAGGAAGGCTCACACGTCACTAAAACCGGGAGAAGAGAGGAAACTAAGTCGTATTTTTTATTATAGAAATACATATCAGAGTCATTAACATACTAATACATGTGAATCTGGTGATAGTGTTAGGGGCAAAAGGTTATAAATTATTTCCTAAACTTATTTAACCTAGAATACTTTGTTCACCATGTCTCTTAAGAAAATAGCTCTAAAAGAATATTTTTTGGAAAATGTTGACTGGATAGCTCTTTTTTTGTTTTAATAGTTTTTAGTTGTAGATGGACACAATACCTTTATTTTATATATTTATTTGTATGTGGTAATGAGGATCACACATGCCAATCAAGTGCTCTACCACTGAAGCACAACCCCAGTCCTGGGTTGTTCTCATTTATTATCTGTTGTCAGTATTAAAGATTAAGATGGCCCTAAATGTTCATTACTGAGTCAACATACTACTACACAAATAAAAATTTGTTAATATTTATAGAATATCAGCACAGGAGCACATGTGAGTTCTGAACTCCAAAAACATCTTCATGAAAATCCTTCACAGCCTTTGTTGGATATTCCATTAAGTATACATAGGGAATACTGACCCAAAGGAAAAAAGGAGGCAGGGGAGCCGCTATCACAGGTTCATTCATTTAGTTGTCTTGACTTTAATTTTTCCTTTAGTGCTTTTGAATTTTTGCTATGACAGCTATTTTTGGTAAGTTAAGTAGATAATCTAGAGCTGGGGCACTGAGCCTCAGGAGAAATATTATTTAGAAGACCTGAAAGATCCCAGAATTAAGACACAGATAAAATATGGACCATTGTGACTTCCAATTATCTCTTATGAATTCCTTTATTTGTTCCATTTAATGATAAAAGACAAAATTACATATAATAACAGGAATTTCAACAGAAAACTTGTCAACTATTATTTCTGGTCAGGAAAATCTAAAAACATAATACAACATGGTACTCAAGGGAAAAAATCATAATCATTAATGATTTTGAACCAAATATGATCCAATTAAAAAATTTAAGCCATTTTTTTTAATGGGGGCAATTAACCACTGAGCCACATCTCCAATCCTTTTTTGCATTTTATTTAGAGACAGGGTCTCACTGAGTTCCTTAGGGCCTTGCTAAGTTGCTGAGGCTGGCTTTGAACTTGAAATCTTCCTGCCTCAGGCTCCCAAGCTGCTAGGATTACAGGCATGTGACACTGCACCTGGTTTAAGCCATTATTTTATGCCCTGATTATTAACAAACATAGGTCAGACCATTACCTTTCAATTATTAATCATTTTAAAAGTATATTTATTAATTCACAAGGTAAGAATTTTGAATTATCATTTAAAATAAAGACATAATAATTCCATCCATTTCTAAACTTTTAGTTTTTCTCACCTTGATTTAACGCAAAGAAATCTAAGTGTAACACTTTTTTTATATATATGTACATTTTTTTTAGTTGAAGCTGGACACAATACCTTTATTTATTTATTTATATGTGGTACTGAGGATTAAACCCAGGGCCTGACACACCCTAGGTGAGTGCTCCACCACTGAGCCACAACCCCAGCCATAAYACTTTTTAAAGCCTTTCATGATTATTCTCAGAGCCATCCTGTGATAAGAAATTATTTAAATACAAGTTGCTAGAATTTAATTCCTAAATAGACACCCTTACCTCCCATTACAATTATATGATCAATGAAGATTTACTGTTTTTACCCTTTAAAAAGTTCATAATGAAGCTTCAGAAAATAAGATCCCAAAATATGAAATTAAAATATTACCTCATGCATTGTCAGTAGGTAATTAAGGATGGCCTGCAGTTCATCTTCTTTCACTCCAGAATCCTTCAGAAAAATAATATAAGTATCTGATGCTTACATATGAAAACTACTTTTAAAAGGGAAACTACACACATAGATTTGTCAAGTTTGTCAACTGTTTTAAAGGCAAAAATATATTGTAATATAGAATCTATATTCAAAATAAAAATTTCAGGAAGCATAATTCAATCTCCAAGACTGTGTAGAAATCAATTAAATCTGACATCAATATCTGTTTTCAACACCACATATGAAAGCCTCTTTGGTAAAGCTACAGAATCCTATAAAATAGCCAAAACCAATAAAGTTATGATGTTACAGTAATTATCCACACCTACCACTCCTCTAAATACAGAAGACAAATTTTCTACTTAAAATTAAATTTAGAGTAAAGAGTATAACTAAGATAAATGGTCAAGTACCTAAAATATGAAGAGTAATTTTGCTTGAGAACACTGAACTTTTAAATATGAGCTCAGTATGAAAATTTTCAACATTCTTTATCAATATTTTAATTGTAAAACAAAGCTGCAATCTCAAATACACACACACACACACACACACACACACACACACACTCACTCACAGGTTCACTTGTCAAAATTTTATCTAGCAGCTAATAAAGAATATTGAATATGTATGTATAAGAATATAGAACATATTCCTTAGAAAACTTGGAATGGAACCACCATTTGACCCAGCTATACCACTCCTCAGTCTATATCTAAAGGACTTAAAATCAGCATACTATAGTGACACACCCACATAAATGTGTACAACTACTCAATTCATATTAGCTAAACTGTGGAACCAACCAAGATGCTCTTCAACAGATGAATGAATAAAGAAACTGTGTTATATATACAAAATGGAATGTTACTCAGCATTAAAAGAGAATAAAATTATGGCATTTGCAGATAAATGGATGGAATTGGAGAATATCATGCTAAACAAAATAAGCCAAAAAGACAAAGACCAAATGTTCTCTCTGAGAAGTAGATGTTAATCCATGATTGGAGGTGAAGGGAAGGGGTTGGGGGCCATCATGGGAAGAATGGAGGAACTTTGGGCAAAGGGGATGGAGAAGGGGAGGTAGAATGGAGCAGGAAAGATGGCGAAATGAGATGGGCATCATTACCCTCAGTGCAGGTATGCACATATGGTGTGACTCTACATTGTGTACAACCAGAGAAAAGAATAGTTGTGCTCCATATTTGTACAATTAATCAAAATGCATTCTGCTGTCATGTAAAACTAATTAGAACAAATAAATTAAAAAAGAATATAGAATATATGTATATTAGAATACAAAACATATTCTAATATAGTATACATAAATATTTATTATAATTTATATTCTAACATAATACATGTTTTAACATAATATTTAATATGAATATATTAGAATATAGTATATAATATAAAAAAGAAATAAAATTATGTAAGAAAATGCTAAATAAAATATAAGTAACAAAAAAATTACATATTGCTACCCTATAAAAGCAAATGCCTTCTTTAAAAATATTATTAAAATTTGCTTTACCTATAATAAAATGAAGAGAAACAAAATGTAATCAATTCTAACAGCCAAAACTCCTATCTGGTACATTTATACAAGAGCACTAACTCTAAAAATCTGATTGTCAGTACAAGAAGGCCCTAGAAATGAAACCTCCTTTAGAAGCTTTGCTGGTTACTATATGGCTAGTGTCAAGATTAGTACCTGGTATTTAACAGAAACTCGGTATATATTTGCTGAATGAAAGAATGAGAACACTTGAGATCTCATACAGATTTTATAACATATAATATACTACAATAATCAATCTACAATTGTGCAGTAACTTATGTTCATGTGTGTCCCAATAGAAACAAAATTTTTAAAAAGGAAACAAACATCATTCAAAGATTATTTCAATGTCTAATTTCACTAACAAAGAAAAACCAAGCCTATATTTTATGTGAAATGATCAGCTACAATACATAGTATGCTACAGGATAAGAAATATGAACTCACCTTCATGACTAATTGCTTAATGAACATCAACAAGAATGCTCGTAGAGAAAGTATTTCTTTTTGATTAGGTCGTGGTCCATCTATTAAAAAGAAACAAGATACGCATATTTAGTATTTCGAAGACCTCAAAGTGATCTAAATATTAAATTCTCATTCCCAATAGCTTTTCCATTTACTTACAAGAAACATAAAAATTTTCTAAAGAGTGACCTTCCAGCCAGGTGCGGTAGCGCACATCTGTAATCCCAGCAGCTGGGGAAGCTGAGGCAGGAGGATCACAAGTTCAAAGCCAGCTTCCTCAAAAGTGAGGTGCTAAATAACTCAGTGAGACCCTGTCTCTAAATAAAATACAAAATAGAGCTGGGGATGTGGCTCAGTGGTCAAGTGCCCCTGAGTTCAATCCCTGGTACCAAAAAAAAAAAAAATAGAGTGACTTGCCCTTCTATGCCCCTCAAAAGAAAAAGACAAGCATTCAATCCCACACGCAATTGTACACACAATACTACAAGTGCACAAAACAGATTGTGCTGAAACTACAATAAAAAAGTCTATACTTTAAGTAGATCAAAAGATTTCAAAAACATAAAAATGAAGTGACAAATGAAATTTGTGTTCAGTAATAATGTACACTTTCATTTTAAAAGACTCTGAAGGTGTTAATAAGGTAACAAGTTAAAAAAAGGAAAATCTAAACTTTGAAAATTAATAATATATGTGAATTCAAAATGAAAACAACTTTTTCTCTTATAGCTATTACAAAAAAAATCTCAAAAAGAAACATGCCTCACCACACAGCATTGTTCATGAAGAAGGGAAACATTATGCTGACTACCTCTGACATCTCAGTCTCTGCTTAGAAAAGTTCTTTGTAACACATGGCTCACATTAAGTCAATTTTCATGTCTCAAACATATAATTCTAAAGTAAAAAGCTTTTGAAACCAAATACTCATTGTTCTAAGATCTTAAGTTTCGTACCTGTTTGCCTCATATATTCTACAATCCACACCTCCCATCACTATTTACAGCTAGCTAGTTACTAGACCACCAAGGCACAGGACCACCACGGCCTTAAACAGATCAATTAAAATAGGAAGAAAATTGTTTAAAATGTGTTCCACGTGATAATTCCTAGACAAAGAACAGGCTAAAGATTTAGAATAGAATCAAGAAGTCTATTCAGCTCTCTCATGTGAAGAATGAGAGTTTCCCAGTCACTAGTTAGTTATAAAATGAAGGTCAGAATACAAAGCCAGCACCCAGGACAAGACATGATACATCCAGAGCAACATTAAACCATCACCAGGAAATTCTGACTTGGCTTTACATCTGCCACACGCTTGCCAGCTTAAACAAGTCATATAACTTTTTATGTCCTCACAGCTTTCTAAAGTAAAGATCCAATTTTCTTTCTCAAAAAAAAGAAAAAGAAAACTGAGTTTATTTTGAAGGTGACTTAAAAAGTACTATATAAATATGAAATGTGTCTTTGTATATTTAAATAGCCTTTGACTAAGATGAGAACATATCTTGTTTGGCTCCTCAGCCATCTATTTCCTGATTTCAAACCACAGCCCTTCAATTTCATCAAGGGACTGAACCCATTCCTACTCTCCAAAAAAGTGTTCTGGGCCATCAGTACAATAACTGCCACATATGGGAACATGCTGCAGTCAGAACCACCAAGTTGCAAAGAGACTGAAAGAGACTTTTGCTGAAAATACTGGATATAGACAGATTGCTCTGTTGCAATTAAAGCTGGAAAGATGTGAAGATAGACTGCTGCTGGCCACTATAAAGGGAAAAAATATGCTAAAACAGCCAACACAGAAGAAAAACTAGTAGAGAGGCAAATTCTGGACATTGGCATCAATTTGTACCTAAACAGTCACATGACATCAGCTGAAAAACTCGTTTTTTACATAGCCAATTTGAAGATTTTGCAAAAGTTCAAGTTCTATTTTCCCCCTTCCATAAACTGCTGACATGATGAATGAATATTAACCTTTCATTGAGTCAGTCCTGACTAATAAGAAAAACACTACTATGATTTTATAATAATTTCATTATCTCTATTAGAAGCAGATGCCCCCTACTTCTTTAAGAAATATCCATCTCCCCAAAACACTGTTTTCAATGAATCTCAGCACCAATACCAGCAACAAATTAAGAAATTTCTTCTTACTTGCAGTGCACTATAAATATTTTAGTCATATCTGCTACCCAAACAATTTATATGGGCACAAGCACTGTTCTTCCATATAAAGAGCAAGTTATCAACTTGTGGCAAACACAGGAAACAAACTACTAAAATTATCTATAAGATTAAAATAAAATTTTGCCATAATGGTTTATAAAAACTGCACAATAATATGATACTATCAAACATCCTGATTTGCTATTGGGATAACACATAGGCAAGGAGGATATACCTAATCCTTTGGGGGTGATACCACTTCGGTCTTGGGGATTCACTGCCCAATAGTAGTACTTCAGTGTGTGCATGATGAGAAGCACTGTACCAACTCTGCGAATCGTATTATATATGTTGACTGTACCAATGAATTCAGTGGACAAATAAGTATAGAGCATCAGTTGAACCTACAAAGTAAAACATTAAAAACTTAAATCAAAGAAACCCATCAGCATTTTATCCCATTTCTAGTAACACTTGTTCCAAAAAGTAAGATACTGAGCTTGATGATAATCCTCAGGACAGATAAYACTCCACACTGAGACACAAGCATACATACACCTCACAAAATCAAATCAGTAATTTCTATTTTTACAGTAGCATTATAAAGTAAATACCCCCATTATATCAAATTGTACAACACTATTCCATGGAAATAATTTTGCCATTTAGCAATCAGCAATTATTCATGAGCCTGAGTAACTTCTTTATAATAAACCAACTACCTGTAATGTGCACAGTTGTTGGGTTTTTATTGAAGAAAGGGGTTGCAGTAGGGGTTATGGGGGATTGAACTCAGGGAAACTTGACCACTGAGCCACATCACCAGCCCAATTGTGTATTTTACTTCAAGACATGGTCTCACTGAGTTGCTTAGTGCCTTGCTTTTGCTGAGACTGGCTTTGAACTTGAGATCCTTCTGCCTCAGCCTCCAGAGCCGTTGGGATTATAGGCGTGCCCCACCACATCCAGCACCCAGTTGTTTTAAAAGGCTAAAATTTTCTTCAGAAAATTAGAAGTTATAACAACTCAAAGGAAAAAAAAACAGTAGTAACTCAAAAGGGAAAAAAAAAAACAGGAGTAATCAACAGCAAAAGCAAGAATCCACAGAAAAAAAAATTTAGCTAGGCACAGTGGGCACACACCTGTAATCCCAGCAGCTCAGGAGTCTGGAGACAGGAGGATCACAAGTTCAAAGCCAGCCTCGGCAATTCAGCAAGGCCCTAAGCAACTCAGCAAGACCCTGTCTCTAAATAAAATATTTTTTAATAAAAGCCAGGGATGATGTAGCTCAGTGTTTAAGCACCTCTGGGTTCAATCCCCAGTACCAAAAAAAAAAAAAATTGAGAGCTTTTCTTAAGAAATATTTATTAGAAAAATAGAATTCTGTTATGATATTTCATTACCACAACATTTAAATCTAGTATTTTCATCATAAAATTCCAATTCTTATACATGTATTTCATTTCTCTCACGAAAGGATTCTTTGGTCTCATAAATAGACTAAATACATAAGAACTTACATGTTTATATTAGATTCAAAATAACCTCTTCCTATATCAGAAAAAGGATTAAGTGCTTTCCATTATTACATAGATCACCTTAATATAAAAGTCCAGTAAAATTGTGCCTCTAAAATTCACCAAAGCTATACTCCAATATTTACTGCAGCACAAAATCAGGACTGCTTTTTTTTTCTACTCTCATCTTGAAATCATGAATTTCTCATTTTATTGCTAGTGAATGCATTTTATAAACTGAATAACTTTAAGTAATATATATATATATATATATATATATATATATATATATATATGTATATGTATGTATACACACACACACTCTCTACCCTTGGCCACAGACCAAATCACTCCTGATCATTTACAACGGAACATTTGTTATATTATCTTCCTGGACAGGGAAGGCATTTTCATTTTCAACCCTGCAAGATACCTCAGTGTCCCCTTGGGGATTTCTTCAGAGAGTGAAAATTAGGTACCTATATTTCAGGTATCCTACAAAAAAACAATCAAGGTCAAATGAATTTAAGAATCAATTAGTAATGGTAAAATGTGACAGAATCTGAATCATTTAAAAGAGGGGCTGAGAAGACCACTATAGTTTAGAAAACTATACATATACTAAGATTCAATGATTGCTGAAGGGTGATTTTTTTTAAATGTAGCTACTGCTATTTAAATGGATAGGTCCTATCTATTTGTCCATGAAGCAATGTAAAATTTCCTATGACATAGTTCAAATTCTTAACCACTTGATTTCAGTCATTCAGCAAACATTTACAACTACATACACACAGCGCTGAGTTACTGGTATACAATGGCACATACGCTGGCCCTCAGTAGCTGAAATACACTTGAGAAGAAAATTACACATAAATGTAAGCAAAAAATCAGAGACAATAAATACATCTGCAGCAATAAAAAATGGTCATGAGGGCTGTGGCTATGGCTCAGGGGTAGAGCACTTGTCTCGCATGTGTGAGGCCCTGGGTTCAATCCTTAGCACCACATAAATAAAATAAAAAGGTATTGTGTCCACCTACAACTAAAAAAATATTTTTTAAAAAAATGGTCATGACCTAATTAGAGAATAAGCTTTAAATACTACAAATGCAGAGGCCAGAGGAACTATTATGGGTAAGTTGAAATAGTGAGGAAAAGCTTCACCAATTGAGTAACAGGCTTCGAAGATAAGGAGTAAGACAGGCAGACCGAAAAGAAGAAATTGTAAATAAGGAAAATAGTGGTTGAAATAAAAGTATTCCCTAAACCTAGAACAGTGGTTCTCAAACCTAACTGCACATTATAAGAATTAGAAAACATTTTTTTAAAATACTGATTTCTGAAGCATACATCAGACTAATGAAATAAAAATCTAGGGTGGAGGGAGTGGGATTCTGCTTCTGTTCTTGTTTTTAAAAACCTCTCCAGAGCTGGGGTTGTGGCTCAGCAGTAGAGTGCATGCCTAGCATGTGTGAGGCATTGGGTTCAATTCTTGGCATCACATAAAAATAAAATAAAGGTTAATGTGTACTAAACAACAAATTTAAAAAAAAAAACCCACCCCCAATTGAGTCTTTTAGCAGCCAAGATCTGAGCTTCTAAACTAAAATATCTAGAGAAGAGACCTGTTAAGAAGGCTTAGAGCTAGATAAGGGACTACATTCTGAAAATAATGGGAAACCATTCACAGCTTTGAAGCCAAGAAATGATCTGATGAGTGTGGTATGTTAAGAACATAGAGGATGGGGCTGGGGTTCTGGCTCAGTGGTAGAGCACTTGCCTAGCATATGTGAGGCACTGGGTTAGATCCTCAGCACCACATAAAAATAAATAAATAAAATTAAGGTATTGTGTACATCTACAACTAAAAAATAAAGAACATACAGGAAAGAAACATTTACTGAAAACTTTTTTAAAAACTAATAAAAAGAACAAAGAATAAAAATGAAATAGAAACACACAGGAATTCTGGCAGATACGTGATTATAATCAGTCAAATAGAAAACTAGAGAAAGTTTACTAAGAATTATACTATAGTAAAAGAAAAATGAATAGGATTTAATAACAGCACAGATGAATGAAGACCCTAAGATTAAAGACCATAAGCTAATTATGAATAAACCTTCCCTCATTCACTCATTATAGAATCCAATAACCATATAAATTAGGTAACTCAATCTTTCTCCATAGATCTGAATTCTATGAAGGTAAAAATCAGGTCTATCTTGTTCTCCACTCCACCCAGGAAGAAGCAGTCACTCAACAAATACTTGTTGAGTAAACAAAGGACCATTATAGATAAGAAAATTCATATTTCCTGTTAGGTCATTAAAATTTTTTTCTCTGAGCAGATCTAAAACAAATGAAAATTATGAATTACTGATTCCTTTTCCAAAAACAAAGTTTCATTCATACAGCCATACCTTTGACTTAAGTAACCAGAGATAGATTTACTCTGAAGCTAATGAAGCTTAAACTTTCAACCACTCATCAATGCATGCTCCTTCTATGATCCTAAGAGTAGTTTTGTATGCACTCTATTGTATTCTTTTTTCTGAAGGAGCTCACTCCCACCATGACAAACTATATGACTTTCAAGTCCAACAAAATTTGGATCTGCCCTTTGTTATAATTACCTTTATAGTAAAGTAAAAGAAAAATGAAATCCCTCATGGATATACAAAGCAGATGGCTGAAACAGAAGTAAGTTTATTATCAATCTCACAAATTCTAAAAAGGAAATTAGGAAAAGTTATTAAAAAGTAGAAGGTAAGAAACTAAATGTAATATTATAAATCTAAAAAAATCATGCAATTATCTTAAAAAATATTCCCCTACAAGTAAGTACCTAATAAGAGGCCTTCTGACCACTTCAAAAGAGACATGATACCTTACAAATATGCTGRTTAGTAAGACAAAAAAGTGTCTAGTAAAAGGCTGAAAAAGCAACTTGAAACAATCCTTGAAAAGAAATAAGACTGAAGGTCATGAAAAGCGAAAGAGGTCAAAATTTAACCTGGAGACAAAAAGCTACAACCTCCAGCTGCCTCCTCTGATTATTTCCAAATGGCAATCTGAGTCAGCAGCTGCTTTTCTCTTTAACATTTGAAAAGACCAGCTGAAATTAAGATATTATTTAATTCCAGAAAAGCAAGAAAGTATTCATACATTTTTTTCTGACAACTAGAATAAGTATGTGCTATTCCAACCTAAATAATGATAGATACTGCAAGTGGACGAAAAGGAGGAGGAGAGAAGAAAATAAAGGGTTTGAAATAACATGACTTTTAACAAAAATTATGGATATAATTAGGCAATTTAATGAAAATTTTCCTTTGTCAAGTTTGCTTGAAACTACCACTACTAAATTTTTAGGATGATTTAATACATCCATCAGAATTTAATAAAGACTCTTCCCAGACTTTACCACAAATTCATTTATATTCACATAGAAGTAACTGGTTTGCTATTAAAGTGCTAAAAATACATTGTAGGTACAAATAAACATGTCTTTATCATCTGAATTGATATAAAATTTAAATGAGAGAGACTAGTATATCCTACCTCCAAGGAAAGAGTGACATTTCAGCTGCACCAATAAGAATGAAATGAAGAGCTGGGCATGGTGTCACACCCTATAATCCCAGCAGCTCAGGAGGCTGAGGCAGTAGTGTTGAAAGTTCAAAACCAGCCTCACCAATTCAATGAGACCCTAAGCAATTCAGTGAGATGCTATCTCAAAATAAAAACCAAAAAAGGCTGGGGATGTAGCTCAATGGTAAAGCACCCCTGGGTTAAATCTGCAGTATCCCACCCCACAAAAAATGAAACACAGAGTTCATTACATTGGTAAAATGCAAAAGTATATAAGGAGATACAAAGAGTGAGAACAGGGTAAACTGTTAAGGAATGGAAATATCTCATCTCTCTCTCTCTCTCTCTCTCTCTCTCTCTCTCTCTCTCTCTGTATGTGTGTGTGTATACACACACACCACGTATATATACATGTATATATGTACATGTATATATGTGTATACATGTACATATATACATGTGTATATATTTGCAATAGAACAGAGCTACATACTTACATCAGAATTGTCTAAATTTGACATATTTAATAAACAAAATCTCTCTTAAATAAAACTTTATTTAAAAATAATTGTGGAATGTGATGATTATTATTATCCAAAGTACAGAGATGAAGACACCAATTGGTGTGAATATACTATGTATACAACCAGAGATACGGAAAATTTTGCTCTATATATGTAATAAGAATTGTAATGCATTCTGCTGTCATATATAAAAAATAAATAAATAAATAAATAAATATAAAAATAAAAAATAAAGACCATAGCTCAATTTTGAAATATAATAACATTCATTTACAAAAAGGGAGAGAGAGAAGAAGGGGAAACACATTGACTTCCAAATTTTCCTGAAAAGCAAAAAAGCATACTTAGTCAAAAAAGGCAAACCACTGAATCTTACATAATATTATGTAAAAGGAAAAAAAGAATATCCTCATAATTATCATTCTCCTCAAACACAAAACCTTAGCAAAGATAGTAAAACAAAATCAATGTATCTGTCACCTTGGCTGGGGTATGAATCCATATGGCAGGGTTAAGAAGAATGTGATCACACAATTGCTTCAGTAAGGGCATCCCATTCTGAAGATTGCTCAAATATTTTGAAAATGCAAGGCAAAGTTCAAGTACTGCTCTGCTGACATGGGATTTGGAAGACTGCAAAGAAAAGTAGTTTAAAGGTCACACTACTAATTCAAGCAAGGTAAGTAAATTACAGGCTATCAACACACACACAAACACACACAAAAAAAAATTGGCCCACAAATTTATGCTCAAAGTAAAAGAGGGCATGAGGCTCCCTACCACACTTCTTTAATACAAGAATAGAGACAAGGTAAAACAACAAAATATTATTTTAATTTAATTAATTTTCTGTTAACCAAGGAGACATGTTTGTCGACAGGGATTTCTTAATCACTTAGGGAACAAGTACATGAACCGCAAATAAAGAATCCAAATGGTAAAATATTTCTTATTTACCTTTTCAAGACTATATCCTATTACCAAGAAGCCTTTACAGGCAAGCATCTGCTCCTGCATAGCAATTGAGTTCTTCAACAGCTCCATTATAAAAGCCAACAGGGTTGAACTAGAATTAAAAAAAAAAAAAAGGCAATCATTTGAAAAACCATATTCTATTTAAAAAATTACATTAGATATATGTAGCCTTCTATTTATCTCAATAAAATATTCTCTGTATCAGGGCCAGGGATACAGCTCATCGACACGAGCTCACGCCTAAGATGCTTAAACCTGGGTTCAATCCCCAACACCACCCACACACACACACACCAATAAAAATCTCAATTTCAAAGAAATTGCCATTCTACCAAAACAGCCTCCAAGATTATTGCAGAACTAAATTTAAATTTTCAATGTATAATTAGGATCTACTCAAGTACCTATTTCATATATTTTGTCATACACATTAATAAATGAATGACTTAGAAACAATATGCAAGTACACATTATATAGAGAAAAATGAACAAAGCACAAAACAAGTAATAGAACTGGCTAATAAAAGTACAAATTATATTAAGGACTTAAAGAATACACTTAGAACCTGGGCTCAGTGACACGCACCTGTCAGCCCATTGACTCGAGAGGCTGAGGCAGGAGGATCATATGTTCAAACCCATCCTCAGCAACTTAGCAAGGCCCTAAGCAACTCAGTGAGACCCTGCCTCTAATAAAATATAAAAATTGGCTGGGGCCGGGCGCAGTGGCACATGCCTATAATACCAATGGCTGGGGAGACTGAGATAGGAGGATCTAGGGTCAAAGCCAGCTTCAGCAAAAGCAAGGTGCTAAGCAACTCAGTGAGACCCTGTCTCTAAATAAAATATAAAAAAGGGCTGTGGATGTGGCTTGGTGGTAAAGCACACCTGGGTTCAATCCCTGGTACCAAATATATATGTATATATATATATATATATATATACACACACTTAGATAAGCAAATGGATTCAATTTTGAAGAGCCACTGGTTAAAAGGAGGAAAAAAGTAAACATCTAAAGGTTTAAATCCTCAAAACATAGTAGAGGTTCTAAATGGCCTATTGTGAACTGTGCAGAATTATATGAGCGAAGAAGAAGTAAAGTTAATTTGGAGAAAACTTGTAAGATCCCTGAATACTAATTTAAGAAATTTGTTCACTCCAGACAGTCTTCAAAATTTTAAACGTGACAGGGCTACAACCATGCTCTACGACCTACAATATTTAGAGATATTCACAAGGAAAAGGAATAAGATCAGCTGCCTCCTTTTTAGCAAGTATGGGAGATTCCCAGACAGAGAGCAAGAGTGGCAGCCAACCTCCTCCTCCACATCAATGCTTTAGCTGCTGGCAATTCCAATAAAGACACCAAAATGTTTGAAAAAAAGAAGAGGAGGAGGAAAGGAAAGGAAGAAAAAAAGAAACTTAGCCCTTTTAGAGAATAGCAAAAAGATATTCTATGACCTATTGGTAATTTAATTTTAATATACTAAATATAGCCAGCAAACCAGGCAAGGTGGTGCACAACTATAATTCCAGCTACTCAGGAGACTGAGGCAGGAGGGTCAAAAGTTTAAGGCCAGCCTGGGTAACAGTGATATCCAATATCTATATAAATATATAAAAATTGGCAAATACTAAACTCAATAGATCATTTCTTCATAAAATTTCTTTTCATAGCCTAATAATCTGGAGAACATTCCATCATTAATTATATATGTTAGTAATGGGTTTCAAGTTGCGAATTAAAGCAGAAATCAAAGACAATTTCAAAAGAGAAGGATAGAAAACTTATTTACATTTCTCAAATAATAAATGAAACATAATTATTCTACTATGGTTAGGTTCACTAGAATATACAGCCAGGAAAATTTATTCAGCCATCCTCTCACATGCTTTATAACTCATCCTAGAATTCAAATGCCTTTGCCTTTTCTAGACTCAACACTACAACACAGGAAACAAAGTGCCAAATGTATAATCTAATTTTTAAAAACACACAGACTTAAATCACCTCATAACACTATTAAAGTTTTTGGCTTTTGATTGTATACATGATTGAGAAATAAAATGAAAACCTAAATTCTCATAATAAATCCCTGACAGCTAAGAACTTAAAATATTTGAAAAATGAGAACATAGCTGGGCACCATGGCACATGTCTGCTAATCCCAGTGGCTCAGGAAGCTGAGGCAGGAGGATCACAAGTTCAAAACCAGCCTCAGCAACTTAGCGGGGCCTTAAGCAACTCAGCAAGACCATGTATCAAAATAAAAAATAAAAAGGGCTGGGTATGTGACTCAGTGGTTAAGTACCCCTGGGTTCAATCCCTGGTATCTAAACAAAAATATTAGAGAAAGAGTGGCAGGGGGAGAACAGACAAAAATACAGACTTTTTTAAAAATCCATTATTTGGGCCAAGGAACTAAACAGACTCTTCTCAGAAGAGGATATACAATCAATCAACAAATATATGAAAAAAGTGTTCATCATCTCTAGCAATTAGAGAAATGCAAATCAAAACTACTGTAAAATTTCATCTCACTCCAGTCAGAATGGCAGCCACCAAGAATAAAACAACAATAAGTGTTGCCGAGGATATGGGGAAAAAGGCACACTCATAAACTGCTGGTGGATTGCAAATTGGTGCAACCACTCTGGATAGCAGTATGCAGATTTCTTGGAAAACCTGGAATGGAACCACCATTTGTCCTAGCTATTCCACTCCTCAGTCTATACCTAAAGGACTTAAAAACAGCATACTTCAGGGACACAGCCACATCAATGTTTATAGCAGCACAATTCACAATAGCTAAATTGTGGAACCAACCCAGATGCCCTTCAGTAGATGAATGGATAGGGAAACTTTGGTATATATACACAATGGAATATTACTCAGCATTAAAAGAGAATAAAATCATGGCATTTGCAGGTAAATGAATGAGTTGGAGAATATAATGCTAAATAAGTGAAGTAAGCCAATCCCAAAAAACCAAGGGCCAAATGTTTTCTTTGATATGAGGATGCTGACTCATAATGGTAATGGGGGATGGAAAGGGGGGGGGCTTTAGATAGGACAAAGGGGAGGAAGGGGAAGGGAAGGGGAATGGGGGTAGAGAAGACTGTAGAAAATAAGTTAGACATTATTACCCTAAGACACGGATGGTGTGAAAATACTTTGTGTACAACCAGAGACTTGAAAAATTGTGCTCTATATGTATAATATGAAATGAATTATATTCTGCCATCATATATAACAAATTAGAATAAATAAATAATTTAATTTTAAAAATCCATTATTGCCATTTATAACTTCATTCTAAAACATTTGCTGCTTTTAGAGCTTTCATATTTCCTAATGACAAAACAGAATTATATGAATACTATTGTCATTGATATGGATTTATCATGCCATTTATAAAGAAATACCATTTTGGGGCTGGGGTTATGGCTCAGCAGTAGAGCACTCTCCTCGCATGTGCAAGGCCCTGGGTTCCATCCTCAGCACCACATGAAAATAAATAAAAGTTATTGTGTACAATTATAAAAAAATAAATATTAAAAAAAGAAAAACCATTTTAAAGAAAATATTCTGACTCTATAATAAATGTGAAAGGCAAACAATAAATGCAGTTCAATAAAGATGAAAGTAACTGTCACATGAAATTTAAAATAAAAGACACTCACCAGATTGTCAAGTCGACTTCATCAGATAAATATTGCCTATAATCCAACTGTGCAAAAAGTGGAAATAGCACTTGTACTCCTCCAATTGAATGCATAGCACTTTGAATGGAATGTGTTAAAACTGCCTTCACATCCTTGAAAAAAAAAGATACATTCTTAAGTTTCAATGATTTCTTTTCCAAAACAGTTTAAAACAAAGCACAATAGTAAATGCAGAAACACTAAAATGTAGCATTCCATGTGTTCAAGAGAAGCTATCAAGTACACACCAATAAGTCACCAGAATTTCCCATAGATATATTCTTAAAAGATCAGAGTAGTACCTGGAGCATAAGTGCATGTGGGGAATGAACAAAAATCGAAGGGTTGTCCTTGGGAGAAGATTCGAGGCAAAGCTGGGCATCGGTAGCCCGCGGGTTGTATGTGAAGGCAATGGCACTGGAGAGTTTGCCATCATACAGTAAGAGTTTGTGATGTTCAGCAAGGAAAAGATCACTTTCTGCTTTAAATTTAAATGTACCCTATGAAATTAAAAAGAAAAAAAGAATACTTAAAGTGATACATCACAAAAGAAAATCTAAATACAAATCACCACAGATGTAAAAATTTAAGGAGACATACCATTGATTATTTTTCTAACAGTATCAAATTAGAGAGCCCTCCAAAATACTAGTTTTTACCACTATAAATTTCCCTAAAGGTACTACTTGGTGATTCCTTTAAGTTTTGACACATTATGTTTTCATTTTTATTTGTCTCAAGATATTTTCTAATTTCCCTTGTGATTTATGCCCCATCAGTTGTTTTCTAGTCTAGTTCCATTATGGTCAAAAAAGATACTATTATTTCAATTTTTTAAATGTATTAACACTTGTTTACAGAGCCTACCACATGATCTACCAGAGACAATGTTCCATGTGCACTTGAAAGGAATGTATATTCTACTTTTATTGCACTGAGTGTTCTGTATGTGTCTGCTAATTCCATCAGTCTAGATTGTTGTGCGAGTCCTGTTTCCTTATTGATCTTCTATAGGTTGTTCTACTCATTATTTAAAGTTGAGTATTAAAGTTTCCTACTCTCATTTCATTACTCTGTACTTCTCTCTTCAACTCTGTCAAGATTTACTTCGTCTAGTCACACACCACTTAACAACATTATGATCAATGATGGAATGCACATATGGCAGTGGTCCCACAAGATTATAAAGCCTAGGATCACAAAGCTGTCTTAATTTGTATAAATAAACACTGTAAATGTATTAACAGTAATGAACTATACAATTCAAATTATTTAAAATGGTAAATTTATTGTGTATTTTACCATAATTAAAATTTGTTTAAGGGCTGAGGATGTATCAGGATGTAGCTCAGTAGGAAAAGCACTTACCCAAAGATGCCCTACATTCAATCCCCAGCAACACAAAAAAAAATTGCATAATTAAAAACAAGTGAACAATAAAAAGACAAGTAACCTAATTGAAAAATGGGTAAAGGATCTGAATAGGTCTTTAAGCAAAAATGATAAACAATTTATAAGGAAACAAAAATAATCTCAACATCATTAATTATCAGGGAAATACAAATCAAAACAATGAGGTACCACTTAATACCCACTAGGATGACCACAATCAAAAAGTCCAATGATAACACATGTTGAAGAGTACATGGAAAAATCAGAATCCTCATACACCACTGTGGGAATGTAAATGGTACAGTCAATTTAGAAAACAATCTATAAGTTCCTCAAATATATGACCCAACAATTCCACTTTAAATAACAGACCCAAATAAAGGAAACATAATGTCCACATAAAAATTCATACACAAGTGTTCATGTCAGCATTACTCATAAGAGCCAAAAGGTAAAAACTAAAGTCCACAAACTAACAAATGGATAAACAATGGAATACTAGACAATTATGAAAATGAATGACATTCTAATACATGCTAAAATAGAGATGATATTTGAAAACTTAGGCTTAGTGAAAAAAGGCCAGCCACCAAGGACTACATATAATTTTATCCACTTATTGCCAGAATACACAAATCTGTAGAAACAGAAAGTAGCTAGAGATTTCTAGGGATTGAGAAGAAAGGGAAATRAGTAATGACTGAGGATTAATATTAGGATTTCCTTTTAGGGTAAATAAACTGTAGACAGCAATGATGGTTACACAACTTTGTGATAAAAACCAATGAATTATATACATTAAATGGGCAAATGGTATGTGCCAGAGTTTGGAACTAGAACGTCCTCTAGAGGACATTTCCCTTGTGATTAAAGGCTTAGTGCCCAGCTTGTATGTATACATCAAAATGGTTTCTACCATATGAATAACTAAAAAGAACAAATAAAGACTAAAAAAAAAAAATACCCCAACATACAACATTTAGGTTTTGAAGAGGTGACACAACTTTTTCATAGAAACTTCTTGAAAATCACAATAAAATCTCTCTTAAAAGCTAATAAACTTTCACATCAAAATTCTAGAAACTAAAAGCCTTCTCAGATTAAAGCTGGGAAAATTCACTAACAGTAAACCTCCATTATAAGAATATTAAAGCTATTAAAGTGGAAGGGAAAAAAAGGCATGAGATGGTGGGTATGATTTGAATATGGTAGCATTTATCTCTTAAAGGTTCATATATTGAAATTTAATCCCCACTGTAAGGGTAGAAACTTAAATCCATGGCATCATACTGAAGAGGGGCAAAAGGGTCCCTCAGATTCTTTTATTGTTTTTTACTTTAACCTTTGTTTTATTTATTTATTTTTATGTTTTGCTGAGGATCAAACCCAGTGCCTCACCTGTGCCACACAAGCACTCTACCACTGAGCCACAGCTCCTCTAGATAAACTCTTTTATGGGGACACTAATTCCTTTCCTAAGACAGAAATGGAGCCCTTGTAAGTAAGGAACTTCTCAAAGGTTCTGCCTCTTAAGATGTATCACCTTGGGAGTTATATGAATTTTGAGAAGACAAATATATTCAGACCATAGTATTATGGAAAAAAAATGAACTTTGATCCTTACTATGCACCATACACAAAACTTCATTCAAAATGGATCATAACCTGAAAGATGAATGCTAAAATCATAAAACTCAAAAGAAAACATGAAAAAATATTTCCAGTATTGAAATACTCAAATATTTTCATGTAGACAAAAAGTATTTTAACAGAAGAAATCGACAACATGTAATTCATAAAAATCAAATGCTTTACTCTCCAACAGCCATATTAACAAAACAAAAAATCAACACACACTCAGGAAAAATATGTGTAAATCTTGTGTATGATAAAAAGACCTATTCTATAATACATAAGAAAAAAATCTCAAAAAAAACAAAACATACACTTCACAAGAAAAGATACACAAATAGGTAAAAAGTAATGAGAAAGATCTCCAGCGTGTCAGTACATCTAGTAAGCAAAAGAATACAAATTAAGAACAGAATGAGGGCTGGGGATATGGCTCAAGTAGTAGCGCGCTCACCTGGCATGCGTAAAGCCCTGGGTTTGATCCTCAGCACCACATAAAAATTAAAAAATAAAGATATTGTGTCCATCTAAAGCTAAAAAATAAATATTAAAAAAAAGAACAGAATGAGAGCAGGGGATGTAGTGCAGAGGTAGAGCACTAGCCTCACATGTGTGAGGCTTTGGGTTCAACACCCAGGACTGCAAAGCATTTTCAAAATTGAAAGAAACACATACACATACACACACACACACACACACACACACACACACACACAGATAGTACTACACATTCACTCAAATGTCTAATATTACAAAGACTGACTATACCATGTATTAACAGATACAGATAGCAGGTACAAATCTCATACTCTACTTGTGAGAATACTGGTGTTTTTTTGTTTGATTTGTTTTTTATTTTCTTTTCAGTGCTGAGAATTGAACCAGGGGTTGTGTTACAAGCACCTTCTCTTTTTTATTCTGACATAGGGCCTTGCTTAAGTTGTTGAAGCCTTGCAATCCTCCTATCTCAGCCTCCAAGGTGGCTGGTATTACAGGCATGTACCACTATGCCCAGAGATAATGTAAAATTATACAATCACCTTGGAAAATACTTTAGCAATTTTAGCTACCATGTTGCTTAGCAATTCCACTTTAAGATAATGACAGAAAAAACATGGTTAAGTCTTAAAAACATGCTGAAAAGAAACAAACTCACAGAAGCACATATTACATGATTCCATTTACATAATACCTTAAGAAAAAAGTCTAAAATGAAAAAAAAAGAACAATGGTTGCATGTTAACAACAATGGGAGAAGACTATGTCAGGCGAAAGAACTGACTGGAAAGGAACATAATGGAACCACCAGTAGTGACAGAAATATTCTACATCTTGATTGTTGAAGTCTTTAACTTTTGTCAAAATTAACTAATTAACCTTTTTGTGGTGCTGGGGATGGAACCCAGGGCCTCATACATACCAGGTTTTATCACTGAGCTACAACTCCATTCTTTTTATTTTATTTTGAGACAGGGTTTCCCTAAGTTGGCCATACTGGCCACAAACTTGCAATCCTCCAGCCTCAGTCTCCCAAGGAGTCAGGATTACAGGCATGTGCCACCATACCCAGCTGTACATGCTTTATATAACTGATAAGTGGAAGATCAACTCAAAGAAGTTGATTTTGTTTCCCAAAGAATACAGTACACACTAAATTTCTCCTTCAAACCAAATTTAAGACTATTATATTAGCATAATAATAAGAAAAGATGCATTGAAGAAGGTAGGAAAAAAAGAGATGTCAGAATCATCACTCTCCCAACCCAGGAAGTAAAGCAGTGTGGAGAGAGGCAGATCCCACTAGGGATAAGGAGAAGGAATAAAGTATAAGCCTTAGATTTAGAACCCAGTACCAACTAGCCACCGTGAAACACCATGACAGGAAGAACTCCATGGCCCCTGATCTCAAGCTAATTCTCTGGAAGAGAGCCTCTGGACCTAGTGGCTAAGGAACTACCCAATCATCCCTCCACCAGTTAAGAGTAGTACAACCCAGAGAAAGACACCAACCTCTAGGGAAAAGGATAGGGAAATTAAGTGTAGAACTTTAGCTTGAAACTAAGTACTGGACTAGGGAAACCCAATGCCAAGCAGGTCCCAGTGGTTCCTGTCCCCAGGCCAGTGCCCACAGAAGAACCCTCTGAACCAGCCCTGGCAGAGATCCAGTGCCCAAATAGAATGGATTTCTATTCTGTCCAGTATCACCTCTGGCTGGCTGCAATAGTCTTAGGCAATGAATATACATAGTCACAAGCAGGCAATGGCAGGATGAGCCTTGGGCTTGCCCCTGAACTGTATTGGTCTCAGCAGACTGTGGGACAATTCAGTATTGCAGTACATGACAACCCAGCGCATTCCTCCCCCAAGTCCAGGCAATACAACACAATTACTGTCCACTTGAGGGAAAAAGAGGAAGACAGTTGTACCGGAACCCAGAACCAGTCCCTCTACAGCAAAGTCTAGTGTGAGGCAAATACCATGGAACATGACCATGAGCCAGTGACTACGGACAAGGTGTCTGGACAACACCAGGCCCAGGCTGAGATATGAAAGAATAGACTACTCTTTATAGTCCTCCCTGAGTCCATACTAACTAATAGCCACTGCTTTGCAATAAGCATGAGAGTGGGGCACCCTCTAATGCTGAAATAGTCACAACACATCAACAGTGGACTCAGAGTAAAACTGAACTTAGAGCACCATCTAGTACTAGAATGACATCATTGGTCATAGGCTTGGAAAAAATAAACAACCTGCTTAGACTTTCTGGAAGAACAGGTACAAAGTCACATTATGAAGATAAAAACAAATATCTAATTTTTCCATGACCAAATGTTATTGTATACCAACAAGCATCCAGAACTTTCAGGAAACCACGACCTCACCTATAGGACAAAATAAGGTTCCAGAAACTGATCATAAATCAATCAATAGGTATGAAGTCTAGGACAGAGAATAAAAATAGTTATTTTAAGGAACCTCAAGAAAATAGAGAGGCTGGGGTTGTAGCTCAGTGGTGGAGCACTAGCCAGGCACATGTGAGGCACTGGGTTTGATCCTCAGCACCACATAAAAATAAATAAAATAAAGGTACTGTGTCCATTTACTGTATTATATTTATATATATATATATATATATATATATATATATATATATATACACACACACACACACACACACACACTATATATATATATATATATATACTTTTTTTTTTAAAGGAAACAGGGCTGGGGTTATGCCTTAGTGATAGAGCACTTGCCTAGCAGGTGTGAGGCACTGGGTTCAATTTTCAGCACCACATAAAAATAAACAAATAAACAAAATAGAAATATTGTGCCTATCTACAAATAAAACAAATTTTTTAAAAACACTGAAGAACAACTCAGTACTTTATCAGAGAAAACTAAAAGAGAGATTAAAGTAATACTAAAAAATCATATCCTTTAGCTGAAAAGTACACTAAGTGGAATAAAAAAGCAATACAAGACATTATAGCAGCATAAATCGAAAACACAGGGAAGAGTCTGTGGGCTTGAAGACAATCTATTTCAAAACACATAGGAAATTTAAAAAAAGAATGGAGAGGAATAAAGAAAGCAAATATTCAAGTAATTTAGGTTCAAGATGAACTTGCAAATGTCAAAGAAGTAGAAAGTTTATTTAAAGAAATAATAATGGGAATTGTCTCAAACCTAGAAAATGATATAGGTATCCAAGTACAAGAATATCAAAGATTCAGCCTGGGGGTAGCTCAGTGGTAGAGCACTTGCCTATCACATGTGAGAAACTAGGTTCAATCCTCAGCACCATGTTTTAAAAAGTGAATTTTAAAAAAATATATCAAAGATACAACTCGCGGCTGGGGTTGTGGCTCAATGGTAGAGCGCTTGCCTAGCACACACAAGGACCTGAGTTCCATCCTCAGCACCACATAAAAATAAAAAAATAAAATAAATGTATTGTGTCCAACTACAACTAAAAAAATAAATATTTTTTAAAAGATTTAATACACTATATTAAAAATATAGTATATTAAAATACTCTATATTTTAATATTCTATATTTTAATATACTATTTAGTAATATTAAAATATTCTATATTTTAATATACTATTTAATATATTTAATATACTAAATATTGTATATTAAAATATACTGTAATCAAGCTCTCAAAGTTTAAATACAAAGAAGATTCTCAAAACATCAAGAGAAAAGAAACAAGTAACATACAAGAGTATTGCAGTTCCTGAAATAGACTTCTCAACAAAAGTATAATAGGTCAGGAAAGAGTGGAATAAGATAGTCACAGTGCAGAAGGAAAAAAAATGCCAACCAATAACATTGTATCAAGCAAAGCTACTCTTTAGACATGAAGAGGAGTTAAAGATATTGTCAAACAAAAACAGTGAATTTATCACCACCAGACCAGTCCTGCATGACTACCAAAAGGAGTTCTTCAAATCGAACACAAGATGCTTACAACTGAGAAGCAAACATCAGAAGGAATAAATCTCATGTAAGAGCAACTATAGACAAATTCAGAATGTTACTATTGCAAATTCTGTATGTAAACCATTTATATTTTTAGTACAAAATACGAAATCATTAAACAATAGCTACATTAACGTTTTAAGAGACAGGTAACATAAAAAAGATATAAAATGGGACATCACAAATTCAAAATATGGCCAGGTGTATTGGCACACACCTATAATCCCAGCAGCTCTGGAGGCTGAGGCAGGAGGATCGTGAGTTCACGATCTTTAACCAGCCTCAGCAATGGCAAGGTGCTAAGCAACTCAGTGAGATCCTGTCTTTATTTTTTTTTTTTTTTATTGTTGGTCGTTCAAAACATTACATCTAACTTGATATATCGGGCTGGGGATGTGGTTCATCGGTTGAGTGCCCCTGAGTTCAATCCCCAGTAACAAAACAAAACAAAACAAAACAAAAATTTTTAAATATGAAGAGGAATATAGCACAAGTATAGAGCTTTTTATAAGTATTTAATATTTTGTTTCTTTTCTTATCTCTACCATAAATGTTATCATTTCAAAATGGCTTGTAATAAATCAAAATGTGTTTTCTGTAAGCCTCATAGTAACCACAAAGCAAAACTGCATAACACACAATTCAAAACGAGTAAATAATGCAACAAAACCCACTGTTACAGAACATCATTTAGCCCCAGTGGCAGACTGCAAGAGAGGAGAGGGGAAAAAAGAACTACAAAAAAAAAAAAAAAAACTTTAGTAACTAAAAGGAAATAAACAAGACTTAGTTATTTGCTGCTTTTAGGAAATTCACCTCAACTCTAAGGATATGTATAGACTAAAAGGGAAGAGATGGTAAAAGACATTCCATGGAAATAAAATCCAAAAGCTAAAGTGACATTATTGCAGGACTGGAAAAGGTGAGGATGGAAAAAAGCACAGGATGGAAAAGTGAAGACAGATAAGTGAGATAATATCAAACTGAGAAGCTTCTATATGGCAAAGGAAATAATAGACAACCTACAGAATGGAAGAAAATATTTGCAAACTATACACAATTAGCATGGGTTCATAGCCAGAATACATAAAGAACATGAAATAACTCAACAGTATGAAAATAAACAATCCAATCGAAAAATCGACAACAGACCTAAACAGACACTTTTCAAAAGATATACAAATAAAAAACTGGTATATGAAAGTGGTCTACACCACTAGTCATTGGGCAAATGCAAATTAGAACCACAATGAACTATCACCTTCATCCAGTAAGAATAGCTATAATCAAAAAGACAAAAGATATCAAGCATTGGTACAGATGTAGAGAAAAGGGAACCCTCACACACACTGTTGGTAGAAATATAAATTAGTACAACCATTGTGGAAAACACTATAGCTTCCTYCAAAAATTAAAAATAAAACTATCATACARTCCAGCAATCCCACTCCTGGGTGTATATCCAAAGAAAATGAAATCAGTATGTCAAACAGACATCTGTTCTCCCATGTTTATCATAGTAAAATTCATGAAATAGAAACAACTAAGTACCCCATTACTATATGAATGGAAAAAGAAAATACAATATAAATAATGGAATAGTATTCAGTTATTAAAGAAAAGATAAAGTTCTTTCATTTATGACAACATGGAGAAGACTGGAGGATATACATTAAGTGAAATGTGGCACAGAAAGACAATGTACTGCATAATCTCATTCATAAGTGGAATCTAAAGAAGATAATCTCTAAGATGTTCAGAGTTAAAATTATGATTGTCACAGGCTGGGGAGAATAGGGGAAGCAGGGATGGGGAAAGGTTGATCAATGGGTACTATGTGACAGGAGAAAGAAGTTCAGTGTGCTATTGAAAAGTGAGGCAACCACTATTAATGATAATGTACTATACATCTCAAAAAAGCTAGCAGAAAGGATTTTGAATGTTTTTATCAGAAAGAACTGAGAAGAGTTAGATTATGTGTGTGTGTGTGTGTGTGTGTGTATAAACACCACAAAATACCCCATAAATATGTATAATTGTATGAGTTTTTTTTTTTATGTCAGCATCAAAAGAAATGCAGCATTCAGTAAAACTGAAACTTGAACTAGCAGTTTTTGCACAGTGCCCCACTAAGGTCAAACACACTGCATTTCTCTCAGAAATGCAAAGTACCCTTCTGACCCCCGTGACTTCCCAACAGTAGTCCCATTTACCTTGACATATAGTTTGGTTAATTAAGGTAAATGTTCTCATGCATAATTCACCTTCAAATCAAGTCCATATAACAGCTATTATGCAATAAACAGAAAGTGAAGTACCTTGTATCCCAGGCCTAACTGATAAATAGCAAAAATCTGAGCTGCATTAAGAGCATCACTGAAAAGGTAAACTGCAGTCATCTGACCACAGAAGACTCTGTTAGCATCTGCTGTTTCTGACGAGCCCAGGAAACATTTGTCAAATGTCTATGAAAGAAAGCAGAGATTTTATTAAATGAAAAATTACATCCTCCAGGAATAACAAAACATATATTGGTATAAATGTTTTGTCTATTCTAAGCTATATCTGAATATAATAAAATAATTAATTTAGCATTTCATTTCATTCATTCCCCTCTTTCATGGAGATCAGAAAAGACACCATGGAAAAGAATATAACGTAAGTTTTCTGAAGTATAATAAATACAACTTTATGACAAAGAGGAAGTAAATGAGGAGTCAGAGAAACCATTATGGCTCTGAAGTTTCATAATTGGGCGGCCAAAGTCCAGAAAGAAGAGCAGTCTTTGGCACAAGGAGGAAAATAATGAAACAGGTTTAAACTTATTGAATTGGCTCTTTTTAAAATTATTTATTGATTTGGTAATTGTAGTTGGGCACAATACCTTTATTTTATTTATCTATTTTTATGTGGTGCTGAGGATCGAACCCAGAACCTCACACGTGCTAGGCGAGCACTCTACCGTTGAGCCACAATCCAAGCCACTGAATTGGCCTTTTCTTTGTGAATGTTTTCATATTAAAAAAGAGAAATATTGGGCTGGGGATGTGGCTCAAGCGGTAACACACTCGCCTGGCATGCGCAGGGCGCTGGGTTCAATCCTCAGTACCACATAAAAAAATTTTAAAAATAAAGATGTTGTATCCACCGAAAACTAAAAAATAAATATTAAAAAATTCTCTCCCTCTAAAAACAAGAGAAATATCATTAAAATTTATTGAGTACTCATCCTTTACAAAGCACTCAGCTAATATTTATGAGCATTATTTCATTTAATCATCATARCAATCTTCTAGTATACATACTATTTTATGCCCATTTTGAGGTGGAAAAATACTAAGGTCAAGTAAGAKCATACAATTGGGGCTGGGTTGTGGCTCAGTGGTAGAGCACTTGCTATAGAACATGTGAGGCACTAGGTTTGGTCCTCAGCACCACATAAAAATAAATAAAATAAAGGCATTATGTCCATCTACAACTTAAAAAAAAAAAGATCATAGAATCAATAAGTGACAGAGCTGGTATTTGAACCTAAGCCTGTGTGATATAACACCCTGAGCTCTTAAGGTTGCCGTTATGTAATATGTACATATGTATATAAAGGATATAAAAGGAGGAGAAAATGATAGAGACTATTGTGTTCATTTTCCTCAGGTTATTTTTTTTAAGTTCCCTATTTAAAAAATGTTTTTAAGGATCAAATAAGAACATTTTGAATCTCATTCTAACCTATGAATCTCTTTTTTAATCCTGAAAACTCTATAACAGTTATAAGAGCAGCTATGAACTATATATAAAATTTATAGGCAAGTATCATCTACTTCATTTATGAAAATGATCTAAACCTTGTAGTTAAGCTCCTATTTACTTTGATCAATGGATCACTGATCCAAACACTGTTAAGACATAGCTACTGCTACTCATAAACCCTTATCTATCTCTACTCTATCCAGAATAATTTTATAATAAAAACTGAGTAATATGTGACACATTAACAACTTCTATTCTGTAAGTAATTAGCCAAATTATGATTATAAAAATTCAAATTAAAATATTCCAAATTTTATATTCAAGTTTTAAAACTTCTTTTAATTTGAAGATTTCATCCTTTAAAAATATTTTTTTTCACTGCAGTGTTTCGAAATCACTTACATCACTGGTGTTGACAAGCCATGTTATCTCTCCATAGGAAGCAAGCTCACCATTCACATAACATCGAAGCTCACTGTTCTTCCACCGATTATAAATGTGCACTATAGTTACCATATACCACTGAATAAGCAAAACAGATAAAAATAATGATTCTCCCAATAATAAAACCATACTCATAAATAAAACATGGTAAATTTCAACTAAACCTAAAAATAAAATAAGACTATTTTTACTAAATCCAATATACAAGTTCCATGAACAATATTTATTCAGGGAAGCTCTCACCTGGTAAGAACTTAAACCACAAAGCAATTTTTCCAGCTTTTTATTATGGAAATTTTCAAATTTACAACCATAAAAGCTAAATATCTAGTACAAATACCCTCTTTCATTTTCACATATTTGCCTTATCTATCTGCCTACCTATCTACCTACACATTATGTTGATGAAGCACTTATTAATCTCTAAATTTTAAGGTACAAAAGAAAATATGTTAAATTTGCACTACTAAAATAACTGCCTTTAATATTTTCTCTTTGGATTTCTCTTAAATTCTATAAAKAACTATACATCTGATCTTTTCATGATCCAAATCAAACAGGTTAACACTTTTACAGTGATTTAAAATTACTATTTTGAAAGAGCATAAAGAGTTGAGAAATGCCATACTGTATTCTGTGACAGTCACTAACACAGAGCATTCTGAAAGCTCCCAGTTAACATAACTATGACTCAGAAGATCGCATACCTTTTGTGGCTTGAAATCAAATTTCACACAGTGTTGAAAGCCTTTTCCTTTTGACTTTATTGATGTTATAATCAAACAGCCTCCAACAAAATGAGCAGAATATCCAAGACCTTTACTGGTTCTGAAACTATGAAGAATAAGTTTTTATTTTACCTGTAAATATTCTCATTTTCAAAGTGAACACTAATCAGTTACAGAAATACATACCAATACAAATACGGTTTATCCTTATCAACATTGATATTATTTACAGGATCCATTCTAAGCCAGGTATGAAATGTAAAACCATTCTGGTATGGCCACTTGGCTATAGGAGGTAATGCAATAGCCTAAACGAAAGAAACTTTAAGTTACTGACTTGCATGAATAACCTTGTTATTGAAATAATGAAAATGAGACTATATGTGTTATATGTGTTTTCCACATACATATGTTTATACTATACATATTTCTTCTATATGCATATTCTTACTATATATAAATTCTACTATGTATATTTCTACTACATATTTTTTCTACTATATCATATTACTTTATGCCATGATTAAAATATCTGAGAGAAGACTCTTTATAGCATTTGAATTTTCCCAGATCCATATTAATGGCAACCTGCTGAATATACAAACATTGTCTTCTTCACTTTTTACAATAAACATACCCCAAGCAACTCCAATTAAAAGATGTAAGTAATTATATTCATAAGTAATGATATCATAATCATATTCAGCTGAAATGCCCTACTTCTCAAGACAAATATAAGTAAACAGAACGAACGAACATATTACAATCTCAGAGAACTCTAAATACTAAAATCATAACATAGTACATTAAAAAAAATACAGACTGGGGTTGAAGCTTAGCAGTAGAGCACTTGCCTAGCACATATGAGACACTGGGTTCAATACTCAGCACCACTTAAAAATAAATAAATAAAATTAAGGTATTTTGTCCATCTACAAATAAAAAATTATTTTAAAAAATAAATAAGAACAGGACTGGGAGTATAGCTCAGTGGTAGAGTGCTTGCCTAGCATGTTTGAGGCCCTGGTTTGGGTCTCCACACATATGTGCATGAATGAATGAATGAATGATAAAAAGTAAATCAACCAAGAATACTTTTTCATCTAAGAGGCAAATAATTTTATGTTTAATGCCAACATAGTAAAAATTTATTCAGGAAAATTTCAAATCTAAAATGCCTTTAAGGAAAAAATGTAAAGGAAGAAAACGTGAGCAATAAAAGTTTTCAAAGAAAGTCATGTATTATGTATACAACATTCAAATATCCCAAGTGTCCTTTCAAAATATATATTTATCTGTTCAGTTCCTTGGCCTACTTATTGATTGGGCTATCTGTTTTTTTGGTGTTAAGGTTTCTGAGTGCTTTATATATTATAGAGATTGGTGCTCTATCTGATGTGCTTGTGGTAAAGTGTGCTCCCATTCTGTAGGCTCTCTATTCACCTCACTGATTGTTTCTTTTGCTGAGAAGAAGCTTTTTAATTTGAATCCATCTCACTTATTGATTCTTGGTTTCAATTCTTGCGGTATAGGAGTCTTATTAAGGAAGTTGGGGCCTAATCCCACATGATGGAGATTTGGGCCTACTTTTTCTTCCATTAGGCCCAAGGTTTCTGCTTTAATTCCTAGGTCCTTGATCCACTTTGAGTTTAGTTTTGTGCATGGTAAGAGATAGAGGTTTAATTTAATTTTGTTACATGTGGATTTCCAGTTCTCCCAGCACCATTTGTTGAACAGGCTATCTTTTCTCCAATGTATGTTTTTGGTGCCTTTGTCTAGTATCAGAAGAGGATATACAATCAACCAACAATATGAAAAAATGTTCAGCATCTCTAGCAATTAGAGAAATGCAAATCAAAAATAAGATTTCATCTCACTCAAGTCAGAATGACAGCTATCAAGAATAGAAACAACAATAAATGTTGGTGAGGATGTGGGGGAAAAGGCACACTCATACATTGCTGGTGGGACTGCAAATTGCTATGGCCAATATGGAAAGTAGTATGAAGATTCCTTGGAAAAGTTGGAATAGAACCACCATTTGACCCAGCTATCTCACTCCTCGGTCTATACCCAAAGGACTTAAAAACAGCATATTACAGGGAAACAACCATATTAATGTTTATACCAGCACTATTCACAATAGCTAAATTGTGGAACCAATCCAGATGCCCTTCAGTAGACAAATATATAGGGAAACTTTGAGATATATATATATATATATATATACATACACACACACACACACATACTTTTGGTATATATACAATGGAACATCACTTATCATTAAAAGAAAATAAAATCAAGGCATTTGCAGGTAAATGGATGGAGCTGAAGAATATAATGCTAAGTATGTATATATGTATGTATATATTTATTTATTAATCTTCCTGCAAATATTGCCTGGCTACATAGGGTCTAACAAGCCCACAAGATTTTATGAGAACCAAAGTAAAAAATGAGTGAATGATAAGGACAAAAAAGAACAGACTGAAGTATATTTTTTTAAAAAATGTATTTTGCTTACAGACTGACAAATGTAATAGTGAGATTTTTTTAATTTCCATAAACAACATTATATGATACATAATATGCTCCTATAATACTTTGAAACTGTATTATAGCTATTATTGCCATACATGATTGTATTATTAACAGCTGGTAAGAATGTTGAGACCAACATAATTAGAAATTCAGAATTCAGGAAAACTTACCTAGAAAGTTTCAAAAAGTTACTCTCATTCTATATAATAGAGGCAAAAGAAACAGGGGCAGGGAAATTTCAGGCTAGAAAAAGATTTTCAAAAAGACAGAATGTGACAAACAGCTACTTAAAAATGCAGAGATAAATTAATAGACAACATAGCTATATTCAAAAGAATTAAGTTCTTACTCCATTACTGACCCAAGTTTGAGTGGGTAACTTTCTTAACTGCTTTAAACATCTATTTCTTCACCTCTAAAACAGGAAAAAGAAACACACTAATTGTCTTAAGGATTAAGTTAGCTCCCACAAAGAAGCTTCTACCTAAAACAGAGCCTGTCAGGACAGGGTGTTTCAGGAACACCCTTGTTGTACTTTCAAGAAGCAAAGGAAAGGAGAACTTCAAGTGACTGTCTCATTAATATTTACTTACTGCAGCACTCTTTCCTGGAAAGTTGAAAAAGGCATCAGGACCATACTTCTGAGGCATATGCTTTAACACAGACAGCAACTTTCCAGCATGTGGAGGCTATAAAAATAGTTAACAATTCATTATCCATTTTATTCACCATAAAACAAAAACACATATAGTTATGTTTTAACATACACAAGAAAAAACAAATAATGCTATAACCTGAAAAGCATATACAATAACCAAAAAAGTTTTTTTCAACTATCTTAAAGTTGAAGGACCATGCTCACAGCTATGATACTATACTGTTTCTGGATCACTCATGTGCTTTTAGTTAAGGTTGAGTTCAGTTGACTTTTTAAGCATAAAATTACAAATAGTAATGTTGCATGACAGTATAAAATAAAAAAGGAAATTTGGTTGCTGATTCATTTCTGTGGGATTTATGTTAAAGGTTAGTTGATACCTCTCTTACAGAAGCTAAAATCCAATTATCAAGTTTTAAAAGAAAGCTAAAGTGTAGCTCAGTGGCAGAGYATTTGCATGGCATGTGTGAGACCCCGGATCTGTCCCCAGCACTGGGGAGAATATAATTCTAAAAGAAGTCTYTTCTTTCCTGGCGGGGGGTGGGTACCAGAGATTGAACTCTGGCACTCAACCACTGAGTCACATCCCCCCAGCCATATTTTGTATTTTATTTAGACACTGTGTCTCACTGAGTTTCTTAGTACTTCACCATTGGTGAGGCTGGTTTTGAACTCAAGATCCTCCTGCCTCAGCCTCCCAAGCCCTTGGGATTACAGGCATGTGCCACTGTGCCTGGTGAAATTTTCATTTTAATAATAACATGAATACTAAGGAGTAAAAAAAGTTGTATTTGTTGCTGTAGTATTTTTCCATTACTTTACTATCTATTGATGTCAGCATCTCCAAGATAGCAGGGTTGTAGAAACACAGTAGGCAGATGGGCATCGTGGTGCACGCTTGTAATCTGGAGGTTGAGGCCGGAGAATCACAAGTTGGAAGCCACTCTGAGCAATTTAGTGAGACCCTGTCTCAAAAAGGACTGCAGTGTAGCTCAGTGATACAAGAAATATTTCTGGCAAATGTGAGCCTTTCTTATTTCATTTTAGAACTAACCTTTACTGGTTTAATATCTAGTAACCCTGCCCCCAAACAAAGAAAAATGTATGTATGTATGTGTATTTATGTATATTTATATTTATACACACAGTTACATGCTTTATAAAATTGAAAAATATACACTAAAAACATTTTTGGACAGCAAAATCACAACTATTAGTTTGATAAATATTTATTCATTGTATATTGTTTTAGAACAACAAAACAGCTTGACCATAGGCCAAAATGTTTATAATTTTAACATTTTGACTCAGAATAGTAAGTTCATTCAATGAGAATTTTATATGGATAATTGACTTCACTCAGTTTTATAACTGTGTAGCCTGCAGCTTACACTGGAAAATGTGGGCCTATTAAACTGGGGAGGAGAAAGATAATTCAAAACAAAGTCAGCACTAGGTGTGTTGGGGCATGCCTGTATCCCATCTGCTCAGGAGGCTAAGGCAGGAGGTTCTCAAGTTTGATGCCAGCCTCAGCAACTTAGCAAGACCCTGTCTCAAAACAGAACTGGGGATGTGGCTCAGTGATTAATTGCCCCTGGGTTCAATCCCTGTTATCCCCCCTCCCTCTCAAAAAAAAAAAAAAAACTAATCCATAAACTGGTACAAAGTTTAGAAGGTAAATTCTGTTGGGCAAATGTTTTTAACATCATTTGATTTTAATTATCAGGAATAAGAAAATAGAGAAATTCTGTTTTAATAGAAATCTGGACTCATTACTAAAAACTTATATATAGTACAAATCTATTGTATTTAATGATTAAAAGGGTTCCTTGGATGACTGATCACTGGGTTGCAGATGGTCTACAGATGGGAGGTGGTGACACAGTACTTTCTGTAGTAACAAGAAATATTTCTGGCAAATGTGAGTCTTTCTTATTTCATTTTAGAACTAACCTTTACTGGGTTAAGGTGCTTTTATGGGAAAAATACTTTTTTTTTTCCCTTAAACGCTCAATACATTGTGCTTCAGTTTAGATAACTGACCTAGTGTGCTGAAAAGTTTATTAAATCACCCACTGACAGCAATTTCTTTAAGTTTGTATATTCATGGGAAGGTCACAATTGAGATATTTAACAAAATAATGGCCAAAATACCTAGGTTTGTACAATGTTGAAAAACTATCTACAAAAATTGAACTGGAACTAAAGCAGATACACTGAGGATAAAGAGGCAGACTTCAGGGCCGGAGCTGTGGCTCAGCGGTAGAGCACTTGCCTAGCATGTGAGAGGCACTGTGTTCAATTTTCAGCGCTGCATATGAATAAATGAATAAAATAAAGGTCCACCAACATCTAAAATTTTTTAAAAAGAGGCAAACTTCCAATATATTCTACAGTCTGCAATTCAAATTTCAAAGTACTTAGTTCAAATGCCAGGTTTCTCACCTATTGCCTTTAACTTAATATGATTCTGAAGATGTGCTTTTTCTCCAGTGATGGGGGATTCCATTCAGCTCAGTTTCTTAGTGTAAATAAGCAGAAGGGCTTTGCTGGTGGTGGGGAGGGAAGTAGTGGGCAAAAATTCGAGGTGTGCCAGGAACTGTGGTGCATGTGTATAATACCAGGGGCTCAGGAGGCTGAGGCAGGAGGATCACGAGTTCAAAGCCAGCCTCAACAACCGAAGGCACTAAGCAACTCACTGAGAACCCGGTCTCTAAATAAAATACAAAATAGGGCTGTGGATATGGCTCAGTTGTCCAGCACCCCCAAGTTCAATCCTCGGTAACAAAAAAACAATAACCCAAGGTGTGACTTCAGTGAGACTGCATGGCAAAGGAAAGAGGTTCTATTTTGTAGGTTGATATCTAAGCTCCCTAAACAGATGGTAGTAGACCTTGAGTTAAACCTTTGGGGAAAATGAGAAATCGGCATGAAACACTATTAAGTTTAAAGTAACATCTGAACAAACCCCAAGAGAAATTCTCCATCTGAGATCTTTTCTTCAACAGGTGCTAAAATGGTGGGGGAAATGTTTTGTTTTGAGCCTCTGTAACAATAAACAACTTTTTTTGTGTGAAAAAAAAAAAAGAAATAATGCACTCTGCCATTTTTTCTAACATTATAGAACATATTAGGTGTTCAATAAATATGAGACAATATTATTTAATACTTGAAACTCATCAGATTGCAGCAAAAGTTATCTCTTAAAAATACAAACTTCATAAACCCACTACCCACATCTCTCTAAAACACTTTTAATTTAACAAATGCTTAAGTAATGCTTATGTTTCAATACTACAGGTACTTGAAATACATTGTACTATTTTAACTTCACAATTTATCTTCACCAATTGTGCAAAAACTTCAGCAACCATTTATCTAAATATTAAGTGGAAATTTTCATTCTTTTTTTTAATTTTTATTATTAGTTGTTCAAAACATTACATAGTTCTTGACATATCATATTTCATACATTTAATTCAAGTGGGTTATGAACTCCCATTTTTACCCCATATACAGATTGCAGAATCACATCGGTTACACATCCACTTTTTTACATATTGCCATATTAGTGTCTGTTGTATTCTGCTGCCTTTCGGATCCTCTACTATCCCCCTCCCCTTCCCTCCCCTCCCATCTTCTCTCTCTACCCCATCTACTGTAATTCATTTCTCTCCCTTGTTTTTTATTACCCTTTCACCTCACTTCCTCTTATATGTAATTTTGTATAACAATGAGGGTCTTCTTCCATTTCCATGCAATTTCCCTTCTCTCTCTCTTTCCCTCCCACCTCTCATCCCTGTTTAATGTTAATCTTCTTCTCGTGCTCTTCCTCCCTGCTCTGTTCTTAGTTGCTCTCCTTATATCAAAGAAGACATTTGGCATTTGCTTTTTAGGGATTGGCTAGCTTCACTTAGCATAATCTGCTCTAATGCCATYCATTTCCCTGCAAATTCCATGATTTYRTCATTTTTTAGTGCAGAGTAATACTCCATTGTGTATAAATGCCACATTTTTGTTTATCCATTCATCTATTGAAGGGCATCTAGGTTGGTCCCACAGTCTAGCTATTGTGAATTGTGCTGCTATGAACATCGTTGTAGCAGTATCCCTATAGTACGCTCTTTTAAGGTCTTTAGGGAATAGTCCAAGAAGGGGAATAGCTGGGTCAAATGGTGGTTCCATTCCCAGCTTTCCAAGGAATCTCCATAATGCTTTCCAAATTGGCCGCACCAATTTGCAGTCCCACCAGCAATGTACAAGTGTACCCTTTTCCCCACATCCTCGCCAGCACTTGTTGTTGTTTGACTTCATAATGGCTGCCAATCTTACTGGAGTGAGATGGTATCTTAGGGTGGTTTTGATTTGCATTTCTCTGACTGCTAGAGATGGTGAGCATTTTTTCATGTACTTGTTGATTGATTGTATGTCCTCCTCTGAGAAGTGTCTGTTCAGGTCCTTGGCCCATTTGTTGACTGGGTTATTTGTTATCWTATTGTTTAAGTTTTTGAGTTCTTTGTATACTCCGGATATTAGGACTCTATCTGAAGTGTGAGGAGTAAAAATTTGTTCCCAGGAAGCAGGCTCCCTATTTACCTCTCTAATTGTTTCTCTTGCTAAGAAAAAACTATTTAGTTTGAGTAAGTCCCATTTGTTGATTCTTGTTTTTAACTCTTGTGCTATGGGTGTCCTATTAAGGAATTTGGAGCCTGACCCCACAATACGTAGATTGGAGCCAACTTTTTCTTCTATCAGACACAGAGTCTCTGATTTGATATCAAGCTCCTTGATCCATTTTGAGTTAACTTTTGTGCATGGGAGAGAAAGGGATTCATTCTTGAGTTATCAAGAAATTTCCAAGTAACCATACTACTCAATTACAAATAGAGTTAGTAACAGGTAACTACAATCACACTAATTTTTTTTGAATAATTTCTAATGTAAATTAAAGTAACTAAAGCCACTCTGCAATCACAAATAAAAATGCAGTATTGTAGCATTTCCATCTAGAGAAATCATTCCTCCAAATCCCCTTTCCTATAAGCCTATCAACAAAAGAACACATTTAAATATGTATTTTTCTCCACTCACTGCTGGGAAGTATACATTAGAAAGCCTTTCAGAATAAAATTTAATAACCATATTTCATGTGTCTTTAAAAATGTTCATGTCCATGAATGTACTGAATTCATAAGTAAAAATCTATGCTAACATAGTAACTGGAAAGTTAGATATTGATTTAGATATAGGGGTTTCTCACTGTTATGAAAGTAAAAGACAAAAATAGCCTGACTGATATTGATTTAGGTATAGAGGTTTCTCACTGTACTATGATGAAAGTAAAAAATAGCCTGATTAATAATAAATAGTTAAATAAATATAATTAATGTCTCAGCCCTCTTGGTTTAATAATTGTTCATTATTTTTCCTTTATCTTCTAAACCTATTCTGATTCTCATTCATCTCCCCATGATCAGCTATTTTAACTTACTTGATCTTTTCATTATGTGTCCGTTTAAAAATGTTCTTGCATGCTTGTTCTTACCATTTAAGTGGCATCATGTTAAGATACATAATTCTGCTTATTAATTTCTTCCTATGTCTGTTACATTTATTCATATTACTCCATGCATTGATTCTAACTGGTATATAGTCATCTATTCTGTGAATCAAATACATTTTACCTATCCATTCATTCTCCTAATGATAAATGTCATACTGATAATTCAATACCATCACAAATAATGTTTCAGTGAACATCCTCATGTATATTTCCTTAACTATATGGGAATTTCTTGAATTCATACTTAGAGGCAAATTATTAAGCCATTGAATATGAGTATGATTTATGTGACTGAGCAGTACTAGATGCCTCTTGAAGTTGGCTCCATTAGTGTTCATTCCAACTAAAAACACACAAGGTTTAAATTAGTCCAACCATTCCAACTATGCTTGTTATTACCTAACCCCTAAAATCATAGATACTATAGATAAGGTAACATTATCAATAGTTTTAATGTGAAWGATCTTATTAAAATTATTTGGCATTTATCTGGTTGTGGGGTTTCTTCTTCTATAAATAAAAATATCTGTTCATAACCTTTGCTATCTTCTTACATACTTTTATATATTCATGAATATAACAAAAGTACATTAATCATATATTCTGAAATTATCTGAATAGAAATCAAGACCAAAATCAAACAAGTACACTTCCTCTTCTTAAAATGAGAATGTAAAAAAAAAAAAAAAAAAAAAAAAACCTATATTTACAAACCCACCATCAACAAATAGAAAACTGGACAAAATTTATGAAACAAAAACTATTTTCAGACAAAAGAAGAGGTGGCCCAAGATTATGATTCCCTCAGAAATGAAAACAAACAAAAAGACCTCTGTCTGGAGTCAGTTTCCATATCACTACACAAAGAGAAAGAGACCAAAGAGAACTTGAAAGTATCACTGAGTTGCAGAGAGAGAAACTGAAGTGTGGGGAATCTGAGGTAGATAGAAGTTTTGGAGAAGCGGTTCCAGAAATCTGCAGTGACTCCTAATAGGAACAAAATCAATGAGCAAAAAACTGACTTAGAAAATTATAAGATTATAGGGTCAGTAGACAAGAGCACTAAAGTAATAACTATTTTGCTAAATATTATCAAGGACTTAAAGAAAAATATGAACACACTGAGATTAAAACTATATATATGCTATCTAAATTTTCAAAAGATAGAATTAAAATACTGCAGAAGAAAACGTTAGTTAACTTGAGACTACAGCAATAACAAATCTAAAATGAAGCACATAGAGAAAGACTAAAAAAAGTGAACAGATTTCAATAAACTGTGGTACAACACCAAGAGGTCTAACTTACCTGTAATTGGAGTCCCAGAAATGAGGAAGAGGAGACAAAAAAAGAATATTTGAAGAAATAATGACCAAAATTCTTCCAAATTTTAAAAAGAAATCAAAACCCCACCAATGAAAGAGCTCTCAGTAAAGATAAACACGAGGTAAGCCATAAGAAGAAACATCCTCAAGTTTAGTAAAAATCAATAATAAAAACTTGAAAAGGAAACAGAAAACYGGAGCCTGATACAAAGAAATTGAAGAATATAAATTTTCATATGATGAATTATAGTAATTGCAGGACTCAAATTTAAATACACTTAATAGAAATAAATTAAGGATCAGCTGGCTGAGCCATGGACAATGATCTTTCCAGGAAACTAAAACAAGTCTGGAAATACAAAAAAAAAAAAAAAAGATAAAATATGGATTTACTAGTACTCCTTTAAGGGACAACAGCCACCTAAATAGCAAAAATAGACAGTTTGACAAGGCACCTGGGATTCAAACTAAGTTTGTAAACACCCACTGCAAAGGGCTGATAAACTGCATCTAAGGAGAGTGGATCTAATTAAATGCAAGCCTTTTTTTGTGGTGGATTATTTAAGTTTAAGGATCATTACTAAAGAAGAAAAGTTACAGAAGAAAAGCTATATATTGCTACCAAACACTTTTCTTTCTCTGTGGTTAACTTTTTCCTCTAATAAATATTGGATATATAGTTAAAGAATAATTTGAAGAAGGATTCAATTAGCCTACTGAAATACTCATTCTCTTAGTCCTCACCTGTGTCATCATGACAAAAGTGGCTGTACAGATGTAAATGCTATTTTAATTGATCTCTTCCACTCAATTTTACATTTACTCCATAGGCAATAATATTAGCTAATTAAAGATACAAATATTTTCAGGAGGGGAATATTTTCCAAAGAGTATTTAGGTTTTTTTTACCCATTGTCCTTTATCTCCTTGAAGTTTACTGAAGAAAAGCTTTAGTTCTCGAACCGTCAAATTATAGCTAGCTAGCACTCCCAACATGTCAACTAAAAGATCTGGAAACAAAAGAAAACAATAAAATCATTAAGCAATTTATATTTCTTAAAGAGTTAAAATATATRTGTTTGGATATCAAAGTCTAGTTACTACATTACTACATGTTCAAATATTTCTTAAATAAATGTTGCTAAATAAGAAAAATATAATATTTAAGAATCAAATTGTATTTCTTCATGTACATTGTACTATAAAAAAACCTCATACCTGCAATCATATTATCAACTTTTTCAATTTTCCCAAGCACTTTTTCAACAAGGCCTACTTCCGTGCAGACTTGAAGATTTCGTATACTCTTCTTCAAAATGGCTGTGAACATGCTCCAGACTTCTGCTTGGCAAGTAATGTCACATTTTTCCAGTAGGTCCACCATACAGATAATACTCTCACCTTCTTGAATAATGAAATTCATCTCCAAATCAAACTGTCCTCCTACCAGCTTCCAGGGGAAAAAACAAAAGCATATTAGTGCTTCGATCTTACTATAACTTGTTCTTAAACTTTAGCAATAAGCACCAACAATAAAAAGGTTCCCTACCCTCCACAAAAATAAAAAGTTGATTTTTTAAAAAAATCATTAAGCTCTAAAGTATAAAGCTTTTAAGGAACTCTTCAAATTTAGACAGCACAAAGCCACATAAAACTTACAATATTAAAATGAAAATATATAGTGTTCAACAAAATATAGGATGTCTTAGGTAAATTGTTACCTACTATCCTATTAGTAATAAAGATAGATCTAAATTAGTTCTCCAATTTCCTAAATTTCAGTACTTCATTTATAAATTATTAATTCTACACACAACAACCTAAAGGTCCTTCACTAYCTAAACAGTATAAGCTCATAGCAAAAATGAAAAGCTTGGGCTGGAGTTGGAAGTTCACAGTAGAGCACTTGCCTAGCACATGTAAGTAACTGGGTTCAATACTCAGCACCACATAAAATTATATAAATAAAATAAAGGAAAAGCTAAAAAACACTGAGAACACAAAATTCAGAGTTTATATTTGTCAGTTTCTAACTTATTATACCCTTTCATTTTGATCTCTCTTCTCTCCTGTCAATTATCATTATAAATTATTCATAGTCACATACCCAAAGTCAGTAATCAAGAAAATTTCATTGACATTGCTATTTAAAATTGAATCCAAAGGACTGTGGTAGAGCGCTTGCCTAGCATAGGCGAGGCCCTGGGTTCGATCCTGAGCACCACATAAAAATAAATAAGTAAAATAAAGGTATTGTGTCCAACTACAAATAAAAAATAAATTTATAAAAAAAATCTGTCCAAAGAATGCTACACTGACCATCTCCATCTTGTTATCTCACCTACAGTTTCCCCTTACATAGCAAAGCTTTGTACATTTTAAACAAATGTCATTTAAAGGAATTAAAATACTTTTAGATGGACATTTACAGAACTACCCTTTTAAAATTTTTTTTAGTTGCAGATGGACACAATATCTTTATTTTTGTTTATTTTTTAATGTGGTGCTAAGGAATAAACCCAATACCTCATGCTTGCAAGGCAAGCACTCTATCGATGAGCTACAACCCAAGCCCAAGTTAAAAAGAACTACTCTTTTTAACTAAACTTTTAAAAATAAATTTTACTGTGCACATTTTAGGTATACAACATGTTATTTTCACTATATATTTAAAGATCTGTCAAAAAACATTTGAACTTGATTCATCTAKGCTTCTTTCAGAATTCTTCTGAATACTTCTTAATTTTTCACTATGTATTCCTAAATCCCAAAGGTGGGCTCGAATTAGAAGAAAGTGAATGTTATAAAACAAAAGCCAACAACTTATTGAAGAGTGATACATATGACTAAGTACAAGTTTACTTCAAGAAAGCAAGGAATGTTCAGAACGAGGAATTTGATTAAAAGTTCTTGCAGTCAGGGATCAACATGTGTGCAAGTTCTGCCCAAAAACACAAGCACTGCTTGAAAAAGAAAAAAAATGGAAATGAACAACATAAGGACCAGTGGTTACATACTAAGACAAGAGCTCCTGGCAAGCACAGTGGCAAAGACATTTGGTTCTTCCAGGAAAGCTCTGTCACAAGAAACCTAGGATGCACTGACACCACTATCTTTTAATACTGTTCTGGAGATACAGAAGTCATATGGGGTCAAAAGAAGGCAACGTATATAAAAATCAGAAAAAGGAGATAAAAATTGAATTATTGGTAGGATTAGGGAATGAAGGGAGGAGAGAGGGTACGGGGGCAGGAAAGATAGAAGAATAAATCAGACATTATTATCCTATGAACATATATAACTATATAACCCCTGGGATTCTACATGTATAATCAGAAGAATGAAAAATTTGCCAAAATACCTTCCAGGTAAGTTAAATCATGAAGTTTCACAGCAAAAGAAACAACAGAGTGAAGACACAACCTATAGAATGTGAGAAAATGCTGTAAAGCATACATTTGATGAGGAATTACTATCCATAATAAATTTTTAAAAACTCTAGAAAAAAAAAACATAAATAATTCAATTTTAAAATGGACAATAGACCTAACTAAACATTTTACAAAAGAAAACATATAAATGTCCAATGAGTATATTAAAAATGTTCAATATCACTTATCATCAGAGAAGCACCAATCAGAACCACAATGAGATCTCACCTCACTATAGTAAGAATGGTTATTATCAAAAACACTAAAGAGTAAGTGCTGGTGATTGTATGGAGAAAAGAGAACTTTTGTTTTCTGCTAGTGGGAAGATGTATTAGTTCAATCATTATAGCAAACAGTATGTATGGTTCCTTAAAAAAATTAAAATGGTACTACCATATGCTCCAGCAATCTCACACTAAGGTATATATTCAAAGGAAAAGAAATCAGTATGTCAAAGACACCAGCACTATTCACAATAACCAAGTAATGGAAACAACCTATAATGTCTATCAACAGATAAAGAAAATGTAGAATATATATATGATGAAATACTATTCAGCCATTAAAAAGGATGAAATCATATCATTTGTCACAACATGGATGGAAACTGGAGGAAAATATGGTAAGTGAAATAAGCCAGGTACAGAAAGACAAGTACTACGTGATCTCACTCATAAGTGGAATATCAAATTGTTGATCTCTCATAAATTGAGAGTATACTGGAGGTCACCAGAGGCTGAGAAAGCAGCAGGAAAGAAGATGTCAGGAAGGGATGGTCAAGGGTACAAATTTATACTTGGATAGGAATAAGAAGTTCTGGTATGCCACTGCACAGTAGGGCACTATAGATAATGATACTGCACAAATATTTTTAAAGAACTAGAAGAGCCAGGTGAGGTGGCACATGCCTGTAATCCCAGTGGCATGGGAGGCTGAGACAAGAGGATCAAAGCTAGCCTCGGTAACTTAGAAGAGAGACCCTAAGCAACTTAGTGAGACCCTGTCTGAAAATAAGAAATAAAAAGGGTTGGGGATGTTGCTCAGTGGTTAAGCACCCCTGGGTTCAATCTCTGGTACCAAAAAAAAAAAAAAAAAGAAAAGAACTAGAAGGAAGGATTTTGAATGTTTTCACCATAAAGAAAAGATAAATAATTAAGGAATAAAAATTTACCCTAATTTTAACATTACAACCATATATATTTATCAAACAATCACTAGGACCCAATTAATATATACAATTTTATGTATGTTTAAAAATAAATTTTAATTTTAAATATCAAAAATTAAACCTAAAGCAACAAAATATAAGAAATTTTCAAGAAACAAAAAAGAAATGATTAACTGCTTACAGAAATAAAAAGCAGTGTAAGGAAAAATAATTAAAGTACTGTCAACCTGGTGAAAAAAATGTTTTAGGAAGACATGAGCAGTCAACTCACAAAAGAAAGCCAAATGGCAAATGGAAATGGAAAACAATGCTAAATAAAATTTATTTATTTTTAAAAGTATCAATGTTCAAAGTAAATGAGAACGAAACAGGCACTTTTATACACTCCTGGTGAAATATTTCCAGAAAACAATATAGTAATACTAAGTAAGCATAATCATGCTAAGACAAAACTGCTTTTAATTTAGTGTGGGCAATACAGATCATTAGCCATTATCAAAGATTAATAAAAGTTAACAGGAAAACTTCAAAACTAAGATAACTGATTCTATGAACTTAAACCTACAAATTTGGCAAAGATGATTTCTAATCAATTTCATCAACAGAAAGATCTTGTCCATGTCAAGGAACACCAATATTCTTTGGAAGATGATTTGAAAGAACCACAAATCCACATGGAAGATAGAATGTAAAAATGACAAAATCCTCAGATACAAAAAAAAAAAAAAAAAAAAACTTCTTGTGGGAAAAAACCGCAAAGATTCAGAAAGGTGGACAAATAATCTCTAAGACTATAAACAACTAATAATTCTATGTAATATTATACATAATACATAATCCTTAAATAATTGGTGAAAGAAAAGCTAAAAGAAAATGTTTTATGAAAAACATTTAGACCTTATCTGATTCAAATGTATGATATGTCAAGATCATTGTACTGTCATGTGTAACTAATTAAAACAAATTTAAAAAATTAAAATTAAAAAAATAAATTGTTTTTTATTCGGAAAATTTAAAAAAAAAAAAAACATTTAGACACAACTATGAAGAAGACAAACTCTTCAGCAATATTTTCCAGACGACAGAAACTAAACCTTTCCCACTGAATACAATGAGGCACTTCTTAAAACACACACGCACAAACAACTCTTGGAGTTTATTTAACAATGCAAACCAACCAACATATTTGAAATAATTTACCGCCAAGAAAATACAGTCTGGAGAGATTTCTAACAGTGTACTTGTCTACATCTAAATGGGTCAAAAACCTTGTTGCAACTAACTTAAGAGACCTTACCTTCACCTTAACATTGCTTACATCAATCTTTCCTTCATTTTGATCTGTGTATATTACCATCAGTAACCACCTTTCCAAGAAGCTATAGAATTAATTTTTGAAAGTAATTTCCAAAAAAGCCCCAAATATTTCACCAGCTTTTAAATTGAGTTTATAGTGTAAGCACAATCTCCAGACAGGTGTTTTAAATATTCTTCCATTGCGTTAAATATTGTAAAATATGCCTTTCAAGGGGAAAATTGATGGCAGAAATCTGTACATACAAATGTATGGCATATTTGATATACTGTATGTATGCATATCTATTAAACCTAAAAAGCATGCAGTGGCTCTACAGCATGTCATGTTAACCCTTTCTAATAGTTATTTGAAGCTGATCAACCTTCAAAATACAAATTTGTTTCCAATGACAGCGATCATAATCCAGGACCAGGCATTGGCTAGTTATTATCTGAGCTGTAGTAATGGCTCTGCACTACAAAATGTAATCTTCCCAAATGTCACAGTAAGTTATGAATATCTGAGCAGCCTAATGCACTTTACTAGCCATGAAA